CAGATGGATTCATAACAATAATCTTGATCTTTGGGATCATCTTATTAAATGGGGGATTTCTCAAATTCCCACAATTAAACAAAATGATGTTAGAAATTTACAGATACAAATTTTATGGATTTGAAGAAAACTTTGGATCCTTTTATTTCACATGTAAGATTCTATGAGATTTCATCAAAAGATTTCTTTTATAAAGTTCGCCCGTATAGAAAAATTTTGCCATTGGCATTATACGAAGATGTAGTGTCTTTCTTAATGGCTGAGGCTGTACCACAACAATATAAGAGATTACCTTCAAGATTATTGTCTGTAGACCTTTCTGAATCAAAAATCATTAGACGACGACATGCAACTATTCTTTCTAATCAGATTCATTATAAGAATGCAAGTTTGAAAATTTCCGAAAGAAATAAATATAAATTTCAACTTCTTTATCGTGGAAGCCGCGATGGGTATAATATTAATACATTTTATTCAAAAGTTAATGGACAAGGTCAAGCTATCGCAATAATTAAAATTCAAAATTCTGAAAAAATCATTGGTGGATTTAATGCATCTGGTTGGAATTTGGATTATAGTTATAATTTTAATAAGAAAATCAATATCAATAATAGAAGTTCCAATAATAATGAAAATCATTTTATCTTTTCATTTGGAGAAAATTATGAGATAAAAATAGGTAAATTCGTTTCTGGAACTGGCTTATATTATGGTCGTAATGTTATGATAGAATTTGGAAATGGTGATTTAATATTCGATGGCAGAAATGGTTCATGTAACCAAAATTCTTATGATCAATCTATACTGGATGCTAATAGTTTTGTCGCTGAGGAAATGGAAGTATTTAGTGTAATAAGACAAATCCCTGCAGGTCTTGATGAATAATGAATCTTATTGTTGAAAATTTAGTAAATATTAATAGATATTGATATAAATGGTTATAAGTCAAGTCGTTCGTATTTGTAGTCCAGATTGTCTTCCATTTTCTATATTTAAATATTTTTTACCATATTCAGATTCTTCTTGAATTTAAAGCTATTTTTTATATTAATAAATAAAAGATAAATTATTTAAAAAATATGAATACGACCAAATGGTTAACTAATGTCTACATTTTATTATTATGTGAATCGACAATAATTTTTAAACAAGCAACTTCTCAATAATAAAGGATGCTATAAAATGTATCATTGAGAAGCGTTAGAAGTAATATAACTAGCAAACATATTTATTATTTATAAACTGGACTATTAAAATTTTTTGATTCAAATGACACGTGAAATTTTATAACCGTACGTATAATTACGTGTGTAAATTTACGTAATATTATATGATCGTAAAATATACGCGTAAATCTACGTAGATCCCGTAATATCACGCCAAAAAAAATTTCTGGATGTAGTTGAACAATGTACAAATAATGTTTATTCCAAAGACACAGTTAAACAATGTTTATTGCAAATATATTGTGTTGATTCAATATTGATACAAATGATTAATTATTATATGCACTTGAGTAATTATATTTTCAAATATATACAATTCAATTTTTATTTTATTTGAAAATGTAATTATTTTATTGAATAAAATCGAAGAACCTCAAAAAAAGAAAGAAATCTGAATTTTCTACAATATGAGAAAAATGTGAAAATTGTTCTTTGTATTTTCCACCATCTGTAAAATCTAAATTTAAAGTCGAAATAAGGTATTTTGGCAAAATTATGAAATTTGAGCCTGAAAATTTGCTGACCAAATTTTGTGGACTAATGAATATAAGTAATGGGCTTTCCGATTTATATTATAAAACATTAGTTTATGCATCAATAACTTAATTCTCCACAATGCAAACTGAATTCTATCCCAGCTTATCTAAAGATTTTTTTCAACTTCTTGAAGACGCTGATGATTATGACGTTGAATTAAAGTTGGCAAGAATTCTCAAGAGTTTCGTACACATTCAACAATTTTGAGAGCACGTTCGCCTTATTTCAAAGATGGAATTATTTTATTTGAAAAATCAGATATTTCTCCTACTGTGTTTACTTTGATAATCAAGTAAAATTAATTTTTATCATTTAATATAATATAATTTTAATATTAATAAATAATTATTCTCTATAAAAATAGGTATTTATATGCTTCAACTGTTGATTTAACAAACATCTCTAGTTCTGATATTCTCAAACTTCTTGCTGAATCTGATGAACTAATTCTTGAAGAATTATTTAATCATGCTCAAAACTACCTTATTGAAAAAGAAGCAGCCTGGCTTGATCAAAATCTTGTTAAAGTTTTGCTTATTGCGTCTAAACTTGCAAGCTGTGAACAACTTCAAGATTATTACTATGAATCCATCTGTTCGAATCCTGATTCTTTCTTTACCTCTGAGGATTTTCTAATCCTTGACAAAGATATCTTTATAGAATTAATTAAGCGTGATGATTTGGAATTGAGGAAATAGATCTTTGGAATTATCTTATTAAGTGGAGAATTTCTCAAACTCCCACAATTAAACAAAATGATGTTGAGAAATTTACAGATGTAAATTTTATGGATTTAAAGAAAACTTTAGATCCTTTTATTTCACATTTAAGATTCTATGATATTTTACCAGAGGATTTATATTATCATATAGTTCTCCCGTCCTTAGAAAATTTACTATCATCAGCATTGTATAAAGATATATTGGGTTTCTTTTTGACCAAGAAAGAACCACAAAATAATTTACCTTCAAGATTAGTAGACCTTTCTGAATCAGAAACCATTAAAAGAAGACATGCAACTATTCTTACTAATTGGATTTATTATAAGGTTGCAAGTTTCAAGAATCTCCAAGGAATATAAATATAAATTTCAACTTCTTTACCGTGGAAGCCTTGATGGATATAATATTTAAAAATTTTCATATGAATCTAGTTATAAATGAAAAATTATAATACCTTTTGATGAATTTCTATTAGCTTCAGAGTTGTTATATTTGTATTCTACTTAAATGTAAAGCATTTTTTTTATATTAATTAATCTTTAACAATAAAGATAAATTACAGTAATATATTAATCCGTCATAATTTTAAAGAAAATGGACTTTTAAACAAATAACTTCTTTAATCCAATATAAAAAATGTATCATTGAGATAATGTTAAAAACAATATACTTCTTTATATATATATATACTTTAATTTAAAAAATCGTTGAAATACATTAAAAATGTACACATTAATAAAAATTTTTATTGGAATTTTATTATCATCCAAATTTTTATCATTTAAAATATCAAAGCTGAATATTAAAAGTAAAAAGAATCTTTGAAATATTTAATAGTGATATTGAATTTGGTGGGAATTAATAAAATCAGAGTCAGAGAATATATAATAAAAATTTGAGTCGGTGGATTTTAATACTTTTATTATTACCAATCATCTATGAAGATTGTTTTACAAAATAAATACTAATAAAAATTTTTCACTGAAGCAAAGTGATCTCTATTAAACGACGAACAAAAATTGATTATATAAATAATAATAATTATTATAATCATTAGTTATTACATTGGTATATGTTTTTTCTTTATTTTTATTAAAATTCTCTCTTTTGATCTTCAAATCAAAGTTGATTCTATTAAAAACATGATTTGTGTAAACGTGTAGATATAATATTATTAATAAAAGGAGTCCTAAATATTAACCTAATTTTTTTTTAAAAAGATTTTTCATTGCAAGTAAAATTTTAATAATTATCAATAATTTTTTTTATATCCAACGGAGTCTTGCCCTAATTATCAATAATGTAATCTTTTAAATTATATTTAAATTTAAATTTTAAAAATTTTTAGGTATTGAACTGTCCATTGAAAGTGTGGAATCTCGGTAAATTTTTTTTATTATTCTTTGTTAAATTAAAAATAATATACATAATATATCAGATAAATATAAAATATACATTATATATTACATTATATATTTATATTTTATTATAAAGTCCAATAGAGAAGCATTGGTATTTATTGATTTATTGGTTATTTATTGATTTTATTACATTTCGAGGTTTTGGTGTCTAACATCACGTTTATACAATTTAGACTCTTTAGTTGAATTAGTCCAACTTATTTAGGAATTTTAATTAATCAATTAGAGAATGAAGGATATTTATTTATTTTATTTAATTTATTTTATTTAATTTTATTTTATTTTATAATATGATGATTAAATTATATATAATTGTGTTATCATAGTAAAAAGGTCTTTTTCCCGCAAATAAAACTGATGAAATTTCTGTGACATTTCTAGATCATACTATACAACGACTTCAAGGTGTTAATGTTAATTAATCGTATTAAGATGATTTAAAAGCTGCTATTGAAGCTAGTTTACAAAGTTGTAATATTCAAGAAAGCAACCATCAAGCAATGAATAATGATGAGAGTAATAATTAGGACAATAAATGAGAATAATGAGAATAAAGGAAGTAGTAACGAAAAAAAAAATAATGATAATAGTAGTAGCAATAGTAGTAATAATAGTGGTGAATAAATTGAGCGCAAGAATTATCACCCGAAGATTTGAGAGCAAGGTAATAATATTTTATTATTATTATTATTTTTGAATTTAAATAAATAAATTTTAATAAATAATAGAGCATGTGTTCCAAAGCAATGATATTGAATAACCAATGTTAAGTCGGATATCATAAATTACATGACGTAACTAGTTAAAACGTATGACGTAACTTTGATAAAATTTATAATTAAAATTACAATACCTGTAATACCCAATGTATATTTTTATAAAACGCTCTTTCTATCAATAAAAAATTAAATTAAATTAACAAAATATAATTTCTCAAAATTTCATTTATTTTTTTTATTTAAGAGATAAAGAACATTAAACATCAATTTATGATATCAATAAATTAGAAAATAATATATTTAAATTTCCTATGTAAAGACATATAGATGATTCGCTTTGGTTATTCCTCTTCTTACAGTCGAAGAAATTGAAAAATGGAAGCGGAAGGTTATTGAATTCTTACGGAATAAACAAAACTTGGATCTTGTTGAAGAAGATATCCAGACCAGAAAATCAAAGATAAATGGGTTACCGGCCTTGTATTCCTTGGATTACAATCATATAATCTTCTTGAAGGACTAGTAATCGCGGAATTGGTTAGTGATATTAAAGATAGAGGTATCAACCTATACTATTTGCATTATTAATCATGCTGTAATTTCATGCAAAAAGACTCATAATTTATTGTGAATCTCTCAACAGATTCAATCAAAATGTGTTTGCACAAACGAAAATAAAAATCTCTGATGCCTTTCCTAGTGGTAAGTATTAAACAATTTTCATCAGAAACTTTCCATTCCTACATTCAGGCTGACTGAACGTACGATTTATATGTTAGGCTTGCTGTACAGGGATCCAGAACCTTTATTCTCCACTCATGATAAGATTATTAATGTTCTTGTAGAAGACTGTAAAGGGCATGAAAAAGCTCTAGAAATTCTTAATGATTGCTTGGCTGTAAGATTAAAGAATGTAATGTGAGTGTTTTAGTGAATAATTTGTGTATCATATTGCAATTTTTGGTACCGTAAAAAATGACAGGCCAATATGAAATTGTTCCTAAACTAAAAAAACACCAATCTTGTTGAAAATGGGTTAATGAAAAGACGAGAATAGTACAAGGGAATACCTCACCATACCTTCCATCTGACTTAGATATTTGTAGGAATATCTCATTAACATGATGAACCAATACTTAGAAATTAGAAAGTTGATGATTATGGAGAGTTAAAAGTATGTCCGGATCCAGAAACATCATTGCAACCTCATTCATGATAAAGTTTTGAAAATTTTTAGTTACAAAGTCAGATGTGATTGAGAAAATGAGCTAACAGTGATTTCAGAGGTTCAAGCGGGAACATGTTTAAATTGTAATTTTAAAAATGAAATATCGAGTGTCATGACTTTACCATTGATGTTTGGTATACATGTTACTCAAATTACTATTCTATTATATTACTATAGTACCAATTCCCAAATTCAAAATTCCAAATTATTTTATTATGCCAAATTTAATTTGGGCAACATGTATAATGTAAAGCAATTCAAACATTATATTATTAGCATTCTAAGTATCACCATATGGGAATGCTTTTCTTTCATTAGATCAGCCAGTCCAAATGAAATTCACCAAATTATCACAAAAAACTGATTAGTCAAGGAACATATGAACAAGAGTATAAAAATCTGCATAAAAATAATTTTTTCATCCTCTACAACTGCAGAAAAGTGTAAAGTCAAACTTCCAAGATGTTCTGAGATTGTAGATGGAAATACTTTTAAAAATTATTTTGGACCATTGCTGGAAGAGCACACAGGGCCACTCTGTTTGAGTCCAAGATCCCATCTATAATAAAGTCAAGAATATTTATAACACTTCTTTTGAGAAACTCTGCAGAATGAATCAAAATTGGAAAAAATGAGATCAAAAAATCATTTAAAAATATTGTGGACATGAATGTGAAAACAAAAATACCAATAAGTATATTAAATAATTTTATTTCCAAAAGGTTTTCACCCCAATTTCTCAATTTATAAATTATAAAATCTTAAAAATATATGTATATACTAAATCAAGCTGATTTTTTGTTAAGCTAAAATTAATAGAAAAGTAAATGAATATACAGTATATTAATTTCTTGATAAAATTTCAATAATATCGGTTACCAAAATGTAAAGTTCAGTATTTGTTAAAATTAATTACAATTAAGAAATTTCAGTTAAATCAATTAAATATTTGTTTAAAATTTCAATACCAAATAAAATTAACTTAATTATTATTAAAATTAAAATTCATAATATCAAATTTTAAAATAGAAGAAGGTTGAATATGTGACAGTGAAGGTAAAGGATGGCTTGTAAGGTATGCCTCAGAATGAGTAGTTTCAGCAGATGATAATTCAAAATCTTCATTTTGCATTTTTTCATTTGCTTTTAAAAACATAAGTGAATGTTCTGTTTTATCATTATACATCAATTCTTTAACCCACTTTTCTTATGTATCAGCATTTGGACGCTTAGTTGAATCTTTGTGCCAACATTCTTCCAATAATTCTACATAACATTGAGGAGTGTCTTTATTAATTTTTGGTCGAAGTCCATTGAAAATATCAGCTGCTAATTCTGGATCATATGCTCTAAAGCAAATGGTATTTTTCCTGTTGAAATCATCCACACAATAATTCCAACACTATAAATATCTGAAGCTTGTGAATATTGATATTTATGTAAGACTTCAGGTGCAATATATGGTAATATACCATATGCTCCAGATGACGAGATTTCATTTGCAAATCTGCATAATCCTAAATCTCCTAATCTTATGAATTTGTATTTTGAATTGTTATATGCTTCAGTTATCATAAGGTTGCCAGGATGAAAATAATGATGGATAAGTTCTTTACTGTGAATGATTTTCAATCCCCTGATAAAAGTATTCAATAACCATAATCGTTCAATCCAAGGTAATGAATTATTTGGTTTAAGGAAATCTCTTAAATTTCCATTTTTCATATATCATAGAACCATTGCATATTCTTTTGTCTTTTGATCTTGAGTTATACCTAAAATTGGTAAAACATATCTATCTCGACATTGGAAATTCGCCTTTAACTATATTTATAAAAAATATAAATTGCATTTATATTAGATAAAAACATATTGATATATTGATTTATTTACCCTTTTAAAAATTCTGAACTAATTTTTTGTGAATCCTTTATTTGATTTATAAAATTCAAATAACCCTTCAGGCATATCTATCCATTCTGCCTTCCAAATACTACCAAACCCTTCTTCAGCTAAATATTCTATATTTTTGAATTTACTATAATTTATCCATCTCCAAATTTCCCATTCTTTTGCATCATCATCTGATTGAGTCATTTGAATAATCTTATCAATTTCATTATTACCACTAGTCCATTTTGGCATTTCTATATGTTTACAATTTGAACATATATTATTTTTTATATTTAAATTTTTACAATTATGACATCTATGCTTTAATTTATTTTGATTATTTTTAATCTTAGAAATTCCAATTTCATTTCGGTAAAAATATTCAACTGCATATTGTCCAGTCTTCTCTCCTCCTTCAACTGATTTCAAGAGCCACTGAAATGCTTTTTCTTCATCTTTTGTTCCAATACCATAAAAATAGTAATATCCAAGATTATTCTGTTCCGTATGGTTTCCTCCTTCAACTGATTTCAAGAACCACTGAAATGCTTTTTCTTCATCTTTTGTTCCAATACCATAAAAATAGTATTATCCAAGATTATTCTGTCCTGCATGATTTACTCCTTCAACTGATTTCAAGAACCACTGAAATGCTTTTTCTTCATCTTTTGTTCCAATACCATAAAAATAGCAATATCCAAGATTATTCTGTCCCGTATGATTTCCTCCTTCAGCTGATTTCAATAACCGCTGAAATTCTTTCTCTGCATCTTTTATGGTTCTAATCTCATTGTTATAACAATATCCAAGATTACATTGCCCAGCATTATTTCCCCCTCCGGCAGGTTTCAAGTACCGCTGTGATGTTCGAAGAGAACCATTTTTTGCACATTCGAAAGCAATCATATAATTCTAGGTATTCTCTGTAATAATAATTAATAATAAATAAAATTAATTAATAGATAAATCACAAGTAACACTGAAATTTCTTTGTTGTTCCGATTTCATCGTGACGCATTTTCCATTTATTGTAAGTTTATTTATTAAATGATACATTTTAAATTATTATGAATTTTATATGACGCGACTTAATGACGCATTCCTTTGAGTACATAATCTGAATGTATAAAAATTGGTACCAATGATTTTCGAAAAAAAAATTCATTATTGTCAAAACCTATTATAAGTATCACTAATTAAGCAAATGTATACGGCAAGATTGTTCTTTTAAATTATAATAATAACTTGAACAACAAAATCACTTTTACAACGCCAATTAGATAGAAAAGATCTGAATGACTTGGTTATTTGGGTAATTCGACCAATAATATTTCCAAATATTAAAATTTCAGGTCTTAAATTTCTATCTCCGGGCACCATACATACATATTAACAACGTTTAAGACTTAAAACGTAAAACATGAAAGAGAACAATTTTTTATTTTGTTCACAGTAATAAGATTATTATAATGAAATTTTTGTGTTAATAATTCTCTTTCAAGCAATTTCTAGATTGGTGGTCATTTGTTTACGAAATGACCATTTTGAAATGAGTCATTTACCAGCATACTAAATGACGATTTTTTATATTAAATCTGAAAGTAGTTTGTGTTTTATTTATTTTGGTGTATTGTTCCGATGATTTTTTTTAAAAAAAAATGAATTTCGTGTCTGGGATGTGATTCTAATATCCTAATATACTGTATGTATGTTTACGTGAAATTTGGGAGAAATTATTCAAAGTATTTCTAATTGGAGAAAATTCAAAATGCTTTCGTGAATATTGATTAAATAAAAAAAAGAGTAGTTATTATATTGAACAATGAGATTTAGTATTATAAGTATTACAATACTTTTTTTTTTTTTTTGATTTAATATCCGCTCTTTAAAGAATTTTGGTAAATCTAATCATCCTCGAATTAATATAAACGATCCAATAAAGGAAAACGCATTAGCTAAAGTAAGAGTCCAATTGTCATTTAATTATTGGGGAAATAACATCCACATCTATTAAGAGAAGTAAATCTACAATAATTTTAGCATTAGTTTGACCGTAGAGATATTTAATCTGCTTGACAATGTAAACCTATATCGTGAAGTAAATAATTTAAGGGTCCCGAAACATCGTTAAAGATTTCAAATTTGAACAATTTCCTTGTTGAGTTGAATGTAAAGCAGAAATCATTCAAGATATTATGGGACATTGATAAAATTTAGAATTTTCTATTTCCGCAAATATTCATAAACAATTAATTAATACAATTTTAGAATGACCATGACCATATGTTGAAAGACTCTATCATTCTTAAGCCAACTGTTTCACATTTAATATAGGACGGAAATATAGAGATATGTACTTAAAAATTATATAATTTGTCATGAAGGCAAATGTTGTTAATTAACAATAGACAGTAATAAATGAAAAATACAATAGAAAACAAAAATAAATATTGTATGTATTTTAAATGACGTGATGGTAAATTTCATAACATTTCTTTATTGGCAGAAATTTTCTTTTCTTAAAAAAAAAAAAATAAAGGAATAAGAAACATTTATTCCAGTCAGGCATGGATTTTTTTCTTTTCGATGTATCAAAAATTTCATATGTATTTGTATTTTTATCTTTTGAACTTAGTGAATTTATCCCAAGAGAATTAAATTAATCAATAGAGCCCAGTTTAAAAGTATAAAAATTATTTTACAGTAATTGCTTACTTTCTTTTCTTTATTTAACCTTTATTTTGATTCAGAATATTGGAAATTAGAAATTTTTTTATTTAAAATATTATTTGATAATCTTTAAGATTATTATTATTATTATCTATTATTATTATTATTTTTTTTACATAAAAAAAGAAATTCTTTTAAAATTCTTCTTCACTATAAAGTATTCCCAGAATGATATGCACACCAATCACATTGGCATTTGATCTTTCACGAACATATTGTTCCACCTTAGAATTTTCTTGGGTTAAAAACCATATTTCCTTTAATCTGGGATGTGACTCTAATATCTTAATATGTTTACGTTTAAGATTTGGGGGAGGGACTATACAGAGTTTTTCTAATTGAGGAAAATTCAAGAATGCTTTCATGAATTTCTTTTTTTTTTTTTTTTTTAAAAAAAAAAAAGAGATTAAAGATTAATTATTATATTAAACGTCAAGTCCTAGCATTATTACAATAATTTTTTTTTTTCTTTCCTTACCTTTGGATTTATCCCTTTGATTGGATAACGAATATCAAATTTCCTTAATTTCGGTAAATTTCGACCCAACTTTGCCAACGTATTACTATTAACTGTTCGTCTCACATGAGAAATATTTAAACTTAGTAGCGAATGACTAAATATTTCTAATTTTGGAGAACCAACCGAAATAATACTTTGAATTATGGGTGAAATCATGGTAACAGAATAATTTCCTGATAATTCTACTAAAAATCTACATCTTTTTATAATATTAATTATAGAATCCGCGGTAATTTTGGGACATTCGAATATATTTAATGTTTGTAAAAATCTACAATGTTCGGAAATTGAATTAATTCCAATATCAGTAATTTCATTTGCATAATGAAGAGAAAGATGTTTCAAATTTCGTCCTCGGTGTTTGGCGAGATAAGTTATTGAATTATCAGTTATTCTATCACAATTTCCTAATTTTATAGATTCCAAATTTGTACATAATTGTATTATGGGTTGAAACATTTCAAAAGATAAGTGACTATAATCCAAGAATTCAATATGTCTCAATTTTTTTTGATTTATTGCCCACGCTTTAAAAAATTTTGGTAAATCCAACCATCCACGAATTAATGTAAATGAATTCAATGAAGGAAAAGCATTAGCTAAAGTGAGAGCATAATCATCATTTAATTCGGGGGAAAATTCCAATTTCATAAAATTTAAGTGACGACATCCATTAATAATTATTCTCAAGGATAAATAATTTATAGTAAGACAACTGAATTTTTCCAGAAGAGGAAAAGAATCTACAATAATTTCAGCAGTTCTTTTATCATTTATATCAGTAGTAATATTTAATGAAGTAATCTGTTGACAATGTAAACCTATATCGTAAAATAAATTATTTAAAGAAGAATCTCTCCAATCCCAAGACATGTTTAAAGATTTTAAATTTGGACAACTTCCTTGTTGAATTGGTCGTAAAGCAGAAATCATCCAATCCACTGTAGTAAATCTTGGTCCTTTTAAATATATTAATTTGGAACATCTTGTTAAAAACATTGATAATACTTCGGGTGGAAAATAATCATTGTAATCAAGTGATAATGATTTTTGACAATCGAAAATTAAGAATTTCGTATTTATGCATCGTTCAGATATTAAATCTAAACTTTGAATTGTAAATGGGAATGAAGAAATTGTTGGATGCGTGGTAAAAATTAATTTCTCCACGAATTCACCATAGGGATATTTTGTTTTCGGTTTTATTAATGAACTTAGGAATTTTTGATAGGATTTCTTTGTTCTCCATATTGGTGATTTCCATAATACTCTTACGACAATCTAATAATTTAAATAAATCAATTATTGTAATTTAATTATTGAATAATTATATTACGTATAAATAAATTATTTACCTTTGCCCATGAGGAATTCACAAGCAAACATTTAAAAATGTCATCTTGATGATTAAACTTTGAAATAGCCAAGGATAAAATGTTTGTGTGAAAAAGAGCAAAATGTGTTGGTCTCATTTGACGTAATTTATGAAAAAGAGAAGAAGAAAAAAGAGAAGAGAAAAAGAGAATGTTTATAAATAATATTTAGAAAGTTTAAATAACTATCGGATCATCAAATAATTGTAATCTTTTTATAGAAAAGTGTATATTCCTTCTTTTTATTTATTAAAATTCACCAATTATAGGAAAGCAAACATAGAATTTTTCATTTTCAAAGAAAAAATAAAAATATAAGATGTTCAGAGTAAAATAAATATATAAATATATATATATATTTGAAAACTGAATATTAACCTGCATCCTCCTAAACCAGAAATGGACTAAAAACACTACACTAAATACAGAAAAAAACGAATGTTTCCCATTCAAAAAAAAAAAAAAAAAGAATTGTATTCTTTTGGAAAATAAAAGATCTGTAAAATAGTAAATAAAAAAATGTGGATGTTGTCTCTGATTATCTTTGTTTTTTGCAGAGCAACATCACTTTATCCCTTTAAATAATCATTCAAGTTCATAGCGTGTAATGATAAATATGTATATATATAATGTTTTTATTTATTGTATCAATATGGCGCATGTATAAATATATTTTTTTTTTAAATAAAAAGAAATTTAAATTTGGATTCTCACGTGTGCATGTAAAAAATATTCGACGAAAAAACTTTAAATTTATGGTCATTTACTTATTTTGACTTTCGTTTTCATTACATTATTTATTATATGATTTTTTAGAGAATAAACTGTTGATTTATTACATTGTCAGAAACAGAGAAATATCGTAACGTAAAAATTCAATAAATTATAAACAATTACAATTAGGATTGGATTGTCTTTTTTGCAAATCCCGAGACATAGTGTGATGTAAATATAAATAAAAAAACGTGACTACCTTTTTCCTATAAATAGACAAAAAAACGTAAAACAGATAATCATTTTTTTTTATAAATGATGACATTCGAGGAAAGAACTAACAAAAGAGAATTCGAAGAAATAGAAAATCATACTTGTATGAATAATTTAGAAGAAATGATAACGATTAAGAATAATAAACAAATTGAATATTTTGAGTTCAATGAATTTAAAATTATTGAAATACAAGGAAACATTCTTAAAGCTTTTCACCCCAAAATTGAAAATACAAAATTTGTTCTTAAACGAATAAAATTTGATGAAAAGTTTAAAATGAATGATCTTATGACTGAAGTAAAATTTTTTTATTTTTATCACGATAATATTGGTAATATTAATTAATATTTATTATATAAATTAATTAATTAATTAAATAATTGATAAAGATAAATCGACATCAAAGCCTTGTTGAGATATGTGATAATGTTTTAAAATTTTATGGAATTACCAAAGACACCAGAGATATCAAAGACGGTAAGTTAATAATTTAATCATTTAAATATAAAAAATAAAGAATATAATAATATAATATTTAATATATTTAATTTCAATATATTTTATAGATAATGCATATATGCTCATTTTCGAGAATGCAGATGGCGGATCTCTTCGTGAATATTTAAAAGATAAATTTGAAATAATAGATTGGAATCAAAAAATACATCTTGCAAAACAATTAGCAAATACATTAGAATGTTTACACGAACGTGACATTATTCACGGATACTTGGTAAATTTCTTCGATTTTTTGGAATTCTCGAAATTTCTTGTCAATTTGTATTTGTTAATGAGAAATATTAAAAAATTTATAAAAAAAAAAAAATCCATTAAAATTTATTTGATTTATTTTTGATTTTTTTTTTAGACATCCAATAACATATTTATAAATCAAAACAATATCAAAATAAGTGGATTTGGTATTTCTCAAGCATTAAATAAATTTCAAGTATTAATCAAAAAATCTTGTGAATCTTTTGAATCTTTTAAATATTCGGATCCCAAATATTTAGAACATTTTAATAATATTCGATATAAAAAAAGTTTTGATATTTATAGTTATGGAATGATTCTTTATGAAATGTCAAATGATTTTTCAACAACTAGTTATGAAAGCGGATTGAATTCACCATGTGATTATTATTTATTTAAAGATAAAAGAGGATTTGCTGAATTAATTCATAATTTTATAAAGATTTATAAAGGTTGGTTATTATTTATTTAAATTTTATTTTTTTCTTATATTAATTATTTCATCATCATTATTATGTCATCATTATTATATCATCATTATTACATTTATATTATGTAATTTATATTATCCAATATTATATAATAATTATTATTATTGTTGTTATTATTATGTAGATTGTATGCAGAAAAATGAGAATAAGCGCCCGAAGATTGATAAAGTAATCAAAGATATCAATAAACTTCAAATGGCAAATAATAATAATAATAATAATAATAATAATAATAATAATAATAATAATAATAAAAATAAAAATAATAATAATAATAATAATAACAATAATAATAATAATAATTCAATGAAAATAAAATCAAGGCAAATAAATAATTCTGACATGTAAGTTTTGTGTTAAATATTATTATTATTATTTATTATTATTCTAAATTTAATATTATTAATTTATTTATTTTTAAATTAATAATATTTGAAAATTCAACAAATTCTCTAGGAAATCACACGTCAAATTAAAAAATATTTCGGAACGAGATTTATTTATTAAAAATTTATTTGAATTTTTCTCGGAACAATATAATATGCAACAATATACAATGGCCCCAAACGTTATAAAAAAATATCTTCGTGATAATGTTAAAAATCCTATCAAAATTTTACATAATTTAATTCAACATCCTCTTCAATATTATTTCTCCAGTTTAATCGGATTTTTTTATCAACATGGATTAGGAACTATTGTGGATTATCGATTAGCATTTGATTATTATACGAAAGCTGCTTCTTTTTCTTCTTCTTCTTCTTCTTCTAATCAGAAAATCACCTCTAATCATAACTCTAATAACTTTAATAATTCAAATGATAATAGTATTATTATTATTCAACAAAATAAACATTCTTCTTCTTCTTCTTTTACTACTGCTAAATTCTCAAAATCATCTTCATCTTTATTTTCTAAAGATTTCCTAAGATTGAACAAAGATATTGGTTTGAATTCTCTGGGAAATATGTATTTATATGGAATTGGGATTGAGATGAATAGCAATAAAGCATTTCAATTATTTTCTCAAGCCGAACTTGAAGGATCTATCAGAGCTTTAAATGGTCAAGCTGTTATACATGAAAGTAATACTGGACAAGATCAAAATTTAAATAAAGCTTTTGAGATTTATCAAAAATCAGCTAATAAAGGAAATCTTTTAGGTCAATGTAATTTAGGAAATTGTTATATGTCCGAAATGTGGGTTCCCAAAAATCAAATTAAAGGATTTCATTGGTATCTCAATTCTGCTATTGGTAATATATTTCATGAAAATTCTTGTACCGGAAATATTATTGCAAGTAATTGTCTTGGTTATTCATTTGAAAATGGTGAAGGAATAATGAAAAATCTCAAATTAGCTTTTGAATGGTACATGAGAAGTGCCAATAGTGGTTATTCCATAGCTCAATGTAATGTAGGAAATTGTTATTTCTTTGAAATTGGAACTACTCAAGATAATAAAAAAGCTTTTGAATGGTATAGAAGAGCTGCTGAAAATGATAATACCTTTGGTCAACTTCAAGCCGGACTTTTCCTTCTTGATGAAATAGGAAGACCTAAAGATATTATAAAAGGAATTTATTATTTAAACAAAGCAAAGGAAAATGGTGGAATTGACGCGACGGATGTATTAAGAGAAATTTCTACTTTATTTATTGATTTAATATAAAATATTAATAATATTATTCATTATTTTTATGATTATTATTATTATTAATTCGCGATTCGCGTAAAGAATCGGACAATTTAATTAACAAAAAAAAAAAAAGTATATAATAATATTTTATTTTAATATGACAAAATCCAAAAAAAAAATCATAGTAGAATTTAACAAATAAAAATTTTTTATCATATAGAAAAATTCATCTTTAATTCAAAAAAAAACAAAAATATCATAGTTTACTGATTACATACATAAAAATTATACTTTAGTTTTTGAAGGAAGTTGGAAAATAAATTTGCCCATTTTCTATTATATGAATACACGATTAATTAAAATTAATTATATAATATTATTATATTTTAAATTAATTGTATTATGATTATAATTTTTATCATATTATTTAAAATTGTTATTAAAGAATTCTAAATTTAAATATATTTTTTAAATTCTTTCATTTGCACGTTCGCCACGTTCACTCCATCGTCATTTCTCTCATTAAAATATCCGATTAAAGAAAATTTTCAATGACATAACGTAAAAGATTAAATAAAAAATTTTATGACGTAAAGATTATAACTTAATGGTCATGGATAATTATCTCATCATAATGTCGATTAATTAATGATGATATCATTATTAACGAAACATTTTTGGAATGAATGAAAGAATTTTCATTATAAAAGAAGTTTTTACTCAGGCCAAAAAATCAACTCACCTTCTCAACTTATCTATAATATAATAATTCATCATGTCGCAACAACAACAAAATCAAGAGAATACCTCCTCAATTAAAGACAATGCTGCCTACTACGCCGGTAAAATTAATATAAAATTAATAAAAACGTTATTCATATTCATATTTTCATTTATATATATGTATATATTTATTTACCTATTTTATATATATATTTCTTTTGTTTTCAAGGTGCTGCGAAAGAATTTGCTGGTAAAACGGTAGGAAGCGATCAACTTTCAAAAGAGGGTGAGAAACAAAAATTAGAAGGTACGCTTTAATTAATTAATTATGATCAACGAAATCATCTTACAATTAATTTGTTTGTTTGTTTACAGCCCAACAACAAATGGAATCCAAAAAACTTGAGCAACGGACCGAAGGAAAAGCCGAAGGTAATTTTTTTAATTATGTGATACGATACGAATAAAAATATATTTTTTTTTAAGTTCGCATTTTCACACGTATTGCATTTGTTAATATAAAAAAATAAAAAAATAACCAGGTATGAAAGATCGCGTTTCCGGTGGTATCCAAGAGACTGCTGGTACAGTGATGGGCGATGAGAACTTGAAAAGTAATTACAAACATTTCATTATTTACTACTCGATTTAATTTATTATTTTACGATATTTACGATATTTACTGTATTTACGATATTTTCTTTACAGATAAAGGTGCTACAGAACGTAGCAAAGGTCAAGCTCAAACTGAAGAGCACAAGTAAAAAGTAATGAATTCACATGATTTCTTGCAATTATTTAGTAATTTGCTGTTGATATAAACAGAAATTTATTTACAAATTTACAAATTAAAATAATGTATCGTTAAATGTAACGAAATTACATATATTAATAATATGATATTATAAGATTTAATAAATTCATTATAAATTTAATAATAAATTTTTTTTTTTTAAAATATTCGCCTTGAATAATAAATAATTGAAATTGTTACAATAAATAATATATCAATGTTATTTGTCTAAATTAAACTAATAAATACAAAAAATATAATATATGTATATGTATATAAAAGAACTTTTAAAAAAAGTTCATTTATTTTTCTTTATTCTCTCGTTCGCTTCTATTATTTGTCTCCATTGAAAGTATTTTTCCTTTTTAGAATATTTCTTAAGTAAATCGTATAATTTCCTTTGTGAATTTACTTGATGTATGGCTATATCTAAACTTTTAGGTTCTATGGCTACAAAAACATTTTCTAATACCCATTTAACTCTATCCACTTCACGTTCGTGATCTTCCTTCACCGTTAAAAATAAAATATTATTTCCATTCTCATCAAGTTCTTCCTTATTAACACCATATTGAAATAATAAATCGAGTAAATTTACCGACCAATTATATTTCACAGCTAAATATAATGAATTAATTGCAAGAAATCTTGATTTTTCATTTATTTCTACTTTGATATTAGGATTTGCATTGTTTCTTAATAAAATTGAAATAATTGGAAAATATTTTTCATGAAAATGTTTTTCGGCAGCGAGATAATATGATAAGATAGTTCTTCCCGCATTATCTAGCGCATCAATATTACATCCTTTGTCAACAAGTAAAGTTATAATCCCTTTAAGTGGATCGCTGTAAAGTTCCGTTTTTGTAAATTTCTGAATAGCCTTGACAATATATTTGTTTAAGAACAAATAATGTAATGGAGTTTTGTTTGATTCTTTAGTGACTACGGTGAAATCTGCATCATACTTGCTAAGTTTAAAAAGTACTTCACGCATACCCTCTAAATGACAATGTTTGGCGGTGATGATTACTAAAGAATCTGTAGTATTCAAGAATCTGTACATCTTATTTACAGACTCTCCAGAATCTAAATGATTAACTAAACCATCAGCATCTCCCAAAGCAGCATGAAATCCTGGATGACATTCTGAAGGTACAAAGTAACCACCCTTATCTTTATATATTTTATTATATTCATCAAGAACGGTTTGACACCTTAAGTCTTTCTATAAAATATAAAATAAAAAAAATTAATAAGAAATAAATAAATTTTTTAAAAAAAATAATAATAATAAAAATAATAAATAATAATAATAAAACAATACTCACATTAATAGATTGGGATTGTGGAGGGAAACATGGAATTCGTTGTGATGAAGAATTTGGTGAAGGGTAAAAACTATTTCGATGTTGATTATTAATTTCAAAGAATGAAGTACTCGAATTCGGTGACTGGTAAAAACTATTTCGTTGTTGTTGTTGCAGATAATACGGATGTTGTTGTTGTTGTTGTTGAGGTACATTTGAAGGAATAATCAAGGGTGGAACAAAACCAGAAATTCTATTGGGATTAATTTCTGGTGGAATAAAACCAGAAATTCTATTAGAATTATTTTCTGGTGGAATTTGTGGAATTGGCATTGAAATTTGTGGAGTATTAAAATTATTTGGAAGAATTGATGAATTATTAAAATTATTCGGAGGAATTGGTGAACTATTAAAATTATTTGGAGGAATTGGTGAACTATTAAAATTATTTGGAGGAATTGGTGAATTATTAAAATTATTTGGACCATTATTAAAATTATTAAAATTATTAAAATTATTTAAATTATTTGAACTATTATTAAAATTATTAAAATTATTAAAATTATCAAAATTATTTTGATTTGCATTTACTGGAGAAATTTGTGGAATTGGCATTGAAACAATTGGTTCAGTATATTGAAATTGTGGTTTCGGTGGTGGGGCTGGTGGTTCTGCTACGGATGGGAATCGATTATGTTGATAATAAGGTTGACTGTTTTGATTGGATTGATTATTTTGATTGAAGTTATCTTGTTGATAATAATAATTTGAATTTGGTGGTGATTGTGTAATAGGGAAACTATTATTTGATTGAGGATTTTTATGTTGAATAAAATTTGGAAGGGGATCACTGTGATAACTATTAAAAGAAGGTTTAGTAGGTTTAGCAGGAAGAGGAGGAGGAGAAGGAGGACAAGGGGAAGTATTATAATTCATTTCGGGAGTTGTTGTTTCTGGCATATAAATGCCTCGTGCCTTTAGTAATAAGTCAAGTTCTGAATTAATATAGTCTATATTCGGACGATCCGCTGGTTCGTCAGTCCAAGCAAGTTGATATAAATTTTGATAATTTGATGGAGTACCAATAATAGGTGTTTCTCTTTTCTTTTGACTAATAATAGCGGTTTGTGATCTGTAAATATTTATATTATTAAATGGAGGTTTGCCACTGGATATTTCCCAAAGTACAACCCCTAGACTATATATATCTGAGGATTTATCTTTTACGTAATTATTGTTAATAAGGAATCTTGGCTCGATAAAAGCGTTCATTCCCACATTTAGTATGTTTTGTTTGTTACAACAGAAATCAGTGATTTTCATTGTTTGGTTCTGAACCACAACGTTCTTTGGGTGCTAAATAAAGAAATAATATAATAGTATTGACAATAATAAATTAATAAAATTTTTATTGTTCGATGGCGTAAAAATAGGATAAATAGAAATGTGAAAAGAAATATAAATAGAAATATATGCAATAATATGCAGTAGTGTACATTATTAACTAAATTAATAAATTCATAATTTCTTACCAAATTTCCATGTATTACATTATGATCATGAATAAATTTTATTCCCGCAGTAATTTGCTTTGCCATCATAATTTTATCATTCCAGTCTAATCGATCAAAGTTTTTTTCCAAATATTCTCTTAAATTTCCTCCATTTGCATATTGCAGAACCTTATAATATTCCGAAGTGTGTGGTTCTATAAGAACGAAATTAATTCAAAATTAATTATTAATATTTTTTTTTTAGGTCAAAAAAAAAAAAAAAAATTCTATCATACTTTTACATATTCCAAAACATTGGATAAAGGATTCATGTGATTTAGAAATACGAAGAAATTCCAACTATGTATTAAAGAAAAAAAAGTATTTAGCATACACGAATAGAATAAGAATAAAATTTTAATAATACTTTTTACATTACCTCTCTTCTGATATAACGATCATCTCGACTCATTGTTTGTAATGCTATTGTTGTTTTAACATCATTACAATGAGCGCGAATCAATTTACCATGTTGTCCCGTTGATATGTCTTCAAAATTTGTAATGAAATCGTAGTCAATAAAATTGACACGTCCACTTTTAATTTCATCTTCCAATATTTGTGACATTTTTTATTTAATTACAAAAGTTATAAATTTTGATTTATAAAAACAAAATTCGAATAAAATAAATTAACGTTATCTAAAAAAAAAAAAAAAAAAAGATTAAAGTGTTATATTTATCTAAATTCAAATTTATTTCGAATTTAATTTAAAAAAATGGTGTAATTATTTACAAGAATCTTCTTCTAATTAACACATACGTTATATTAAAATGATTCTTACTTTTAATTAATGTTCGGTTATGTTTCATTTATTTATCACAGGTTAAATGACTTTAACAAAGGAATCAATAGTCCGCTCATGCACATAAAATACGCTAAACAAGGTGAATAGAGTTCTACAAAAGAATTTCGGGGTTTGTACTCATTCAAAACCACCTTATTGAAATAGCATTCGATTAAATTTGATTTTTTTTTTTATTAAACTGATGATTAAATATTGATTTGGTAATGAATGATGATTGAAATAGACATAAAACTTATTAAAGTTTATTGTTTGTCTTTTTTTGTTTATTTTTAATTACGGAATACAGCATTTATCCAATTCTAAGTAACAAAATAACCGCGTGTGTAGTAATTCAATTTAAAAATCTATTTTAATCTCTCTCACACGTCTGAAAATTTTTTTTTTTTTTTATTTTGTTTTTTTTTTTTACTTGGGATTACAATTTGAATAAAAAAAAAATTGAGTAAAAAAAAATTTAAACAAATAAAAAAATTCAGTTAAAAAAATTTTACGGAAAAAGTCATTCTTCTCTCCGTACGGTAATACTTCTGTGACACTTCGGTAATACTTGTAAAACTCCATATACTCACCCCCAGAAAAGAAAAAAGAAAAACATGAATTGAAATGTGTATGTTGTAATACATTCGAAAAACATTTTCTATTAATAGAATAATGATTATCTAGATTATTAAAAATTCATTTTTTCCCTTTTTTGTACTTTTCTATTAATAAAAAAAAGAAAGAATGGAATTAAGAAATTTAATTATTTGCTTACTCCGATATGATTTAAGAATCCATGATAATTCAGTTTTATTTCACGCTTGTAATACTCCATCAGTGACTCATCTCTTACCAATTTATTGTTTTGATCCAAGAAAAATTCTTTTATATCATTTATCTCGTTTTAGTGTAAATAAAAATGAAGAAGATAAGAATGTTAAGAATGATATAAATAATAAGAATGATAAGAATGATAATCGGGGAGAAGAAAAAATGATGTTTGAAAGTCCAAAGACTAACTTATTTGGATTCGATCGGTCCAACAGATTTCGGGAAAGGTATAATCTATATTACCGAACTAATAAATTTAATAACTATTCTTTTTTTTTTTTTTTTTTTGAAGGAATAAATATATATATATATATATTTATTTATTTAAATTATTATTTAGGTTTTTAGCGGAAAGCATTTTGGATTTGCGACAAAGTTTAATTAAGCGTGGATGTGATTTATTAATAAGATTCGGTAAACCCGAAGATTTGGTTCCTCAAATAACAAAAGAACTTTTAAAGAAATATAAAGTTTTAGGTCTTTATTTACAAAAAGAGGTAATCTATTAAATAATATATTTACATATTTATTATATTTATTTATTTATATTTATTAAAAAAAAATAACATGAGACATTTTTAATTTTCAATAATAAATAATAATAATTTATGTAACATAAAGATCACGCGGGATGAAATTTATGTTGAAAAATTATTAATTTCCCGATCACCTGTTCCTCTCAAATTTTTTCATGGTTCTACCATTTTTCAACAAAATGATTTTACCAGTATACCTGATATATATAAAACATTTCGTGAACAAGTGGATAAACTAAATCATCAATTATTACCTATTCCTTTATTAAATATGCATAGACACTTTCCTCCATTTCCAAGAATTCCATCAATTTATGATGAAACAAATAATTCATTAAATGTTTCAACATCAGAATTTTTAGAAAAACTTGTATCAACACCTTGTCATCAAAGAACCTGTATCCCATTTAAAGGTGGAGAAACAAGTGCTATTGAACGGATTAAAACATATCTTAATAGTCCTGTGACTTCACCTCCACTGAAACAGTATAATCCACCTTTTTCTTTGGCTCCCAAGAAACCACAAAGAGCTTTGGCACCAATTGCAAAATATAAACAAACCCGCAACAATTTAATGGGAATAAATTATTCATCCAAATTATCACCTTTCTTAACATTTGGATGTTTATCTCCCAGATTGGCTTATCAAAAAATTGTTGATTATGAATCAAAGAAACCAGGAGGAGAAACTGAATCAACTTACTTAATTAAATCACAATTATTATGGAGAGATTATTTTAAATTTATGGCTGAAAAATATGGTAATTTCTTATTTCATATTGATGGATTTGCTGGAGCTCTCAAACTTGAAAGAATTAAAAATAGAAGTATTAGTAGTATTCAAGAAGAGGGTGAAGAAGAAGAAGAAAAAGAAGAATATTATGATTATAATGAAAATAAAAAAGGGAAAAAATGGAATCAAGATTTTGATAAGTTTCAGAAATGGGCAAATGGAATGACTGGAATACCTTGGATAGATGCTAATATGAGACAACTTAAAGAAACAGGGCATGTATTTGTTTCTTGTTTCATATTTATCTAGATTTCTTTATTATCTAAAATTTCTTATTCTTTTGTAACCTGATTAAAGTAACTTTTTTTTTTTCAAAAAAAAAAAAACAATAAATAATAATATTTTTATAGGTATATAAGTTCTCGCGGAAGACAAAATGTAGCAAGTTTCTTGGTAAAAGATTTACGTCTCGACTGGCGAATGGGAGCTGAATTGTTTGAATGCTTATTAGTAGATCATGATGTTTGTTCAAATTATGGAAATTGGCAATATAGTAATTAACTTAATTGATTAAATTAATTATCTTTTGTTTTTCATTAATTTTAAATGCCAACAGCTAACATACATTTCCTTTAAAAATAAAAAAATAAAAAGTTGCGGGAATAGGAAATGATCCTAAAGGAGAATTATTATATTTTAATATAATAAAACAAGCCAAAGAATTTGATCCACATGGTGTTTTTGTTAGAGTGTGGTGTCCTGAATTATCCAAAGTACCTTATGAGAAAGCTCATATACCTTGGATTATGACATTTGAAGAACAAAAAAGAAGTGGATGTATAATTGGAGAAAATTATCCAAAACCTATGGTGATATTGGAAGCTTGGGTGAAAAATTATAACAATAAAAATAATGATAAAATCAATAGAATTAATAATAATAGAATTATTAGATGAAGAATGTATAAGAGAAAATTTAATTGGGAAATTGATTTCATAACATTAAAAAAAAAGCTAATGATCACTTTTATTTATTTTATAACAAACTTGAGATGCTGCTGTTATTCAAAAGGAGTTACCTTGAATCAAATTGTTATAATTATTTATAGATCGAAAGGCAATATAAGATCTTAAAAACTAGATTCTTTGAAGCAATAAAAAAAGGAGGATAAAAGAAAAATAAAAAAAAAAAAGAAATAAAGAACAAAATAAAAAGGATGTACTCCAGAACTCTTTAAACATACATGTTTCAATTATTTTAATACAACAAATTATGTAACTAATTATTTACTAGTAATTTGTTTCAGGAAAATAATTTATTTAATTAATTAATGGATATTGTTTTCGTTTATTAAATATTACTAAACTTTTTTAAAAACTAGATTCTTTGAAGCAATGAAGAAAAAACAAAAAAGAAAAGTAAAAAGAAAAACAAAAAAAGAAAAGGAATAAAAGAAAAAGATATGACTAATTATTTATTTCTTGAAACAAAAGATAAATTACTCAATTAGTAAATCTTTATTCGTTAAATGTTAAAACTTTCTTGAAAAAACTAGATTCTTCAAAATAATAAAAGAAAAAACAAAAACAGAATAAAAAGAATAAAAAAAGGAAGTACTTTAGAACTCTCTAAAAATTTTTCAAAATAGAAATCAGTAATTTATTCGATTTTATTATTAGCCATTTGCAGGAGATTTCCAGAAATTCGAATGTTCTACACTACAATTAGAATAACATTTGTGGCGTTTTACTGTTTATAGAACTTTTATAGAACTTTTATAGTTGAGATTTAAAGCCAGTAAATGTAGGGATGTGACACTTTATTTACTTAATTTAACTTTAGTGTGATCAGCGTGATTGGCCATCTATAATTGCCATTTATTATTTTTTATTATTCATTATATTTACTTACTTTTTCTAATCCAATTGAATCTCCGTTTGATAATGAATCACCTAATATTTGTATGGTATTAAGTATTTTACTGGAATCATTATTATATAAAATCAATCTCTGTGAAACAAAAATAAAAATAATAAAAATAGAAATAAAAATAAAAAAGTAATGAGTAAAATCATATGCAAAAAAATGTGCATTGTTTTATCAATTATATTATTTACCTCGGGATCATCCACCGATAATTGATTATTCATATTTTTGATTTTTCCTTCGATCGCTATTTTGTCAAGCACTTTTCCGATAGACCAATTCTAATAGTATAAAGAAAATATATAATATGAAAATATACAATATAATGTAATAATTTATAATAATTTATAATAATTTATTAACAATTTTTTACGCAACACACCTTGTTAAAAAACATTGGTTTACTTTCAATATTTGAGTTACGTGGAAATTCGACATTAAAGTACAATCTGGAGTCCAAAGGAATAGAAGAATCGCCCTATAATTATTTTATTTTTATTATTTATCATTTCATTCATTTGGTTATTCATTCATTCATTCATTCATTCATTCATTTATTTATTTATAGAAAAATAATAATTATGAGTAAAAAAAAAGGGAATAAAATCTAATAATAAAAATTGTACTCACTTTAGCATTGGATTTTAAAACCATTAATTTAATCATTTTATTTTCTTTCTTTTTTTTTGGTTGAATTGTTACAGTTTTCGCGTTTCCTGATGAAGAAGGTGAGGATGTTGATGGTTTTTTAAAATACTTGGCAATCAATTCTTCGGCCATTTCACGCCTTTTTACTTTAGTCTCGGAGTGAATATTAAGCGACGGACATTCGTGAATAGATGGGTACCGATGTCTATTTTTAATGACAAATAAATGTAATAACATATGATGATAAACTATATGATAGACAATATCATAAGTAAATACTTACTTTAAACAAAATATTTCTCCGCATCCATCACAAACAACATGAATATTATTATTATTATTACAATCTTTTTGAATAAGACATTTTTTCCGAGTGGTGGAAGATAATGAAGATAATAAGTATAATGAACAATTCGAATTTAGATGTTCTTCTACCTATTTATTTTATATATCGTCAAAGGGAATAAGAAAGAGACAAAGAAAAATGGGAAAATAATAAAAATAATAATGAACTTACAATTTTTTCTTTCGCTTCTTCCGATGAAATTTCGGATGGGATTAGCAACATTGAGGAACATTTTGGACATAATGAAATATTCTTTTTTATTTTTATCATTATCATTATTATTATTATTATTATTATTATTATTATTATTATTATTATTATTTTAAATGAATAAGATAAAAATAAATTATCATTAATTACGAAATAAGAAAACGAATGAATTAAACAAATATTTACCTTTTCATTTTCTCTCCATTGTAAACATTTATGGGAAGTTGGATATCTATGATCTAAACTATTTTATTTTGTTAATTTGAATGAAATAAACTTAAAAAAAAAAAAAAACAAATTAGAAGGTTTTCTAATTCTCATACCAAAACTTTAGTTTACAACATGCACAGTAGAAAGGCAGAAAATCTGGAACGAATGAATTACGGATTTAACGCGGAATAACGTGGAATGGAACAAATTATTGGTATTTAGCATCATCGATAAATAATACATCACAATAATGATATCATATCAGCCTCAAAAAAAAAAAATAATGCAATAATTATAATATAATTATGCCATCAGAACTATAATAACAAAAGTAATTATTTAATCACCGAGTTGTTTACAGTTTCCTAAGGAACAATTATTTCCCAGACCAGGAAACTCCATTAAGAACAAAAATTTTTATTTTATTTTATTTTATTTGAAATGAAATTTTTTTAATCGAAATGGAGAAATGGATAAATTTTAAATAATTATACAAGTCCCCGTTTTGGTAAGTAAATTAAAAACCAATAAAAATAAATATAAATAAGATCCTCAAAATAGAATACAATACTATTAATAAATTAATTTGTATATAAATAAGAACTCCCAGATTCCAAATTCAAAAAAAAAAAAAACACAAATTAAAACTAAAGAAGATTTAAAGAACTAACTATTTAACTATTAAATTCTTGAAACAAATTTTTCAAACATATAATTTTTGATTGATTAATTATATTCAAAACAGAACAATAACATACAAGAAAACAGTAACGCAAAATTACAAAATGGCTGTATTGGATAAAATGAACAAATTTATTAAGATTTCTGATTTAGATTTTAATAAAAATGATTACGCAATAGTCCATCGAAGCATGGAGTCCGTCGGTGATAAATCAATAGAAGAAAAATTAGATGAATTTGAATTATCTAATGATGTTATTGATGAAAAGGGAAAATTTCTACAGAAATATTGGAAATTAATCGGGATATTCACGCCTCCAACCGATTTTGATATCAAATTTCTTCACAAAGACGATAATGGTTTATTTAAAAAATATTATGAAAGTCGAAAATACATTAATTTCGTATATGAAATTCCCAAAGGATTATCCAAACAATTTATTGATGTTCATAATAATAATGAAAATTTTGATCCTAATATATTAGAATTTTATACAATGGGACTTTTAAGAAAAAATGGTAACGTGAAAGAAATCTTATTTGTACCAAATATAAAAAATATAAATCGAAAATAATCAAAATCTTAGGATTTTTTTTTGTTAGTGAATTTGAAGTGATGTTGTAAATACAATTATTATTTTTTTAATTCATTTCTCCCACTCTAATTCATACTCCCCAACTTTTGCATATATATCATATATCACTTGAGTTAAATTATTATTATTATTATTATTAGAAATAGAATTTTGTTATTATTATTATTATTATAGAATATTTTTCATTTGTTATTATTTTTTATCCAATAAAGTTGATCACAAAAAAATGAAGCAGAATATTACAAAAAATAAAATCAGCAAATGCCCTTTGTAAGATAAGATATTAAAATATTAATATTCAAATAAATCAATCAATATTTAAAAAGATAGATCAATATTAATTATTAAATGTTACCTCTCGGGAGATATTCCTTTGAATGAACCAAAATTTTCAGGATTAGTTTGTATTCGTAAATTAGCTATTATTAAATAATGCAAAAGAAATTAATAAATTAAATGCAAAACTTAATTAAATTTATCAAGTGTTTTAAGATAAATAAAATAAAATAAAATAAAATTAAATTAAATTAAATTAGATATATTTACTTGCTAAAACAAACGATCCGACAGTTGAAATAAATCCTGATAAGAACGAATTATATGGAAAAGTTCCAACGATAACACAATGTACAAATTGAATTATCCCCGATAAAAGAATAAAAAATAAATATGCATCAATGAATTTAAGACTTTGTGGTGTATCTTTCTTATATGATACCCATAATTTATGGGCTGCAATAGAGACTTTATCCGACATTATTAAAATTAAAAAAATAAATTTGATAGGTTTGTTTATTTTTGATATCTGAAGATAACGACGAAAAGAGAATGAAACGTTTAATTTTTTTGATAAGTTTCACTTCTGATACATATAAGAAATACATATAAGAAAAAGTGAACGTGGTTAAACTTTACTGGTTAAATTTTATTGTCAAATAAATTAATTTAATTGGTTATTAAAATCCATCATCAGATAATGTATTTATATTTATTTACATATTTATTTATACTGTTAACAATAATATGACCTCTCCTTCTTTGATTACTTTGATCATGAGGGTAAAAAAATATAAAAATATTATATTTTTTATTTTATTCGTTTTATCATTAACCTGCATAATCATTTATTTAAGTTATTCAAGATATTCGAAACATTCAACTTACTTAAATAATGAACCAATTAAAGTAATCGGATATAATCCAAATCTTGAAGAAATTTTCGATTTAAACTGTACAGATAATAACAACGACAATAAAAATAGTAATAATAAAAATAATAATAATAATACACGTCGTTATCTTACTTATTTTCCTCATGGTTCAATTTATCAGCAAATTAATAGTCTCGAGAATGCATTATTTTTATCTTGGGCAACTGATCGTACATTATTAATTCCACCTATAATTCTTGGGAAAAATTTATTAATTTACAACCAATCTTTTAATCTTTTTTATGAAAAATTAATTTCTCTACAATTCTATAATAAGAATACAAGTAACGATGAGCAACCAAATCTATTCACTCAAGTGGATTGGAATATTCTATTTGATTTAAAATTTCTTGTTAATAATGACAATAATAATGATGATGATGACTTGAAAATTAATTCAATTTTAAGAAATGATGATTTTGTTCTAGAAAATCTTTATTTATCCATTAACGTGACCAATTCAGAAGAAGTTTTCTTCATTCCTGATAATACAAGTATTTATTATCAATTTTATGATTATATTGATAACAACAATACAAGTAATAATAATAATAATAATAATAATAATAATAATAATAATAAATATATTATGATTAATTTATGCTCTCTTCAAAAAAGAAATGAAACTTTACTTCACTTTGGTGATTTATCAGGAATTAATAAATTAAATTTAAATTCCAATAATAAAGAATTTTTAGAGATCATTCAAAGAAATTTATTAATTAATTTTCATCAACCAGAATTATTGAACATAGGAGAATTAATTAGTATTCAATTAGGTGGTTTGGGACATTATATTAGTTTCTTCTTTAATATTAACATGGATGATCACAAAATAACCAAAATAATCAAAGATATATCTAATAAATTTTCCACAACAAATAATGTAAATACAAATACAAATAATACAAATACAAATAATACAAGTACAAATAATAACAACAACAATAATAATAGAAATAATAATCATAGCAAAAATTCTTTAAAAATTAAAGATTTTCAACCAACCACTGCTCAAATATTAGCTTCAGAATGTATTGAATTATTACCACCCGAAAAAAGAGATTTTCCTATAATTTATTTTTCCACAAATCAATTATCATCATCATCACCTCCTCCTTTAAAATCTTTAAAAAAATTATTAAAATTCTTTAAGGAATTTGAATTTCCTTGTGTATTCAATTTAAATAATTTTATTAATTATACTGATTTTCGACCACAAGAAAATTTATTACCATCATTAAAAAAAGAAGATATAATTATTATTAATCCTAAAGATAATATTGATTTATATGAATTCCTTTTACCTTTTATTGATGTTATTGTATTGGCTAAAAGTGGAGAATTATTTGGAATAGAAGATGAAAATAATAATCCTGTTTGTTTAATTTGTAAATATATACAAAGGTTACATGAAATTTGGTTGGGATAACAATTCAATTTTTATTTTCATTTTTATTTTTGTTATTTTTTTTTATTATTTTATTATTTTATTATTTGAAAATTTTTATTGAATATTATTATTATTTTATTATTGAATATTTTTATTATTTTATTATTGAATATTTTTTATAAAAGAAAAGAAAAAAAAAAGACTTGATCTTTCTTCACAAAAAGAGAAAAGAAAGAGAACTGGTCCCACCTGTATATAATAAAATTCCCATATTAAATAAAATAAAAATATATAATTAATTGTTAATTGTAAACATTCGGATATAATTTTTTTTTTTTTTTAATAATTATTATTATTATTTTTTGTTCAGACGTTATCCAAAGATAAAGATTGTAAACATATGAAAAGGGCAAAGGTGGGTTCATCCCTAGTCTTTTTAAAAACTAGGGGGCCTTTACTGGTCTTTTCATCAGACAAGCTTTTTTTTTCATCACTACAAAAAAATTATTTTTATCACAGAAATAAAAAAAAAAAAAATAATTTACCTGTACGAATAATTTTGTAAATTACTAAATTTATTTATTATGAAATATATAATCGTCTCAAATTTTTTTTAAAAAAAAGAAAATAAAGAGAGAATATTAAAACAATCTAATGAATAATATATAAATTTGAATTTTTTTTTTTTATTTTCGGTTCTCATCGATCTTGGTGATAAAAATTATTATTATTCAGCATCAATTTATTCTTAGTTTAAACTTTATTAATCATAGAACTGTTCGTTAAATAAAGTAGAAACTAAGCTTACCTTCATAAAAAAAAGGTTGTTGATTCATTTATGCCTATGACAAAATCTTCTTATAATAAGAGATCTGGTCTGGATAATCTACAAAAAAAAAATCGAATTGTAATTCTTTCTTAAAGCATCGATTTTTTTTTTTTTGACCAATAAGAAAATAATAGAAAATAATAGTAATAAATACGAAAAATAATTTCCCGACAGATAAAAAAAATAAGTCAAAAATGAGGTAAAAATAAATTTCTTATATTATTATTTACGAGATAAAATTAAGTACTTTCCCCGAAAATGTTTTCCCGAGATCTCTACCTATCAAGCTATTTTTACAAGTTATTTTATTTTTATTATTATTATTATTATATAGTACTCAAGGAAAGTCAAAAGCTGAAATGACCGAAGAAGAACTTCGGCAACTTGAGGAACACGAGTTTAACACTGGTCCTTTATCAGTATTACAACAATCAGTAAAGAATAATACTCAAATCTTGATAAACTGCAGGAATAATAGAAAATTACTGGCTAGGGTTAAAGCCTTTGATCGTCACTGTAATATGGTGTTAGAAAACGTTAAAGAAGTAGGTTAAAAAGTTATTATTACTATTAAAGTTATTTGATTCTTTAAAGAATAATTAAGAAAAGATTCTAATTTATTATTATCACAATAATTGTTATTACTTTTATTTGTTTACTTTAATTATTTTGTTTATTTTAATAATAGATGTGGACCGAAACTCCTAAAGCTGGAAAAGGTAAGAAATCTAAACCGGTCAACAAAGATAGATTCATAAGCAAAATGTTTTTACGGGGAGATTCAGTCATTCTTGGTAATTATATAAATATATTTATTTTTATTTTTTCATTACGAAATTTTTTTTTTATTTTAAATTATAATAATTTTATTTTTTATTTATTACAGTGTTGAGAAATACGGTATAAATAAATATATATATATATCCGTATCCTTCAGAGTACAACACGTTGTTGCTTTTGATTTTTGGTTGCTTTTGATTTTTGGCTGCTTTGTTTTTTCTTGATCATTCATTATTGGTGGATCTCTCCAAATGGTAAAAGTATTTTTTACTTTGGCACATACACTTTCCTATTTCACTATTAAAAAAAAGTACTGTTGTATACTGATATAAAATCAAAAAAAAAAAAAAAAAACGAAAGAAAGAAAGAAAGAATAAGATTATACTATATTGCTTGACTGTTCTTTTCTTTTAAGGATCAAATCAAAAATTCTTCATTCATTTCACAATTTAAACAAGTATAGCTGAACAAATAATTTTGTTTTTTTAAAAAAAAAATTAAAAAATTTGTTTCTTTTTAAAAAAAAATAACAGGATATAAAATTTTTTCGGGGGTGAGTTGGCAAATAAATAACAATAATTTTATAAAAAAAAAAAAATGATAATAATAAATCTTACCCTGATAATATAACATTATTTAATGTGATAAAAATTTTCTACCCTTCATACGCCTTCTAGTTAAAATTCTTCTACCATTTCTATTTTTTAATCTTGCTCTAAATCCATGCCGACGTTTTCTCACAATATTACTTGGTTGATATTCTCTACCATAAGCTCTAAACCGAGCTTGAATAAACCCGAAAAGATTTGTGGTGGTATTAAAAGTAGTAGTATTTGTTGTTTGTAGCGGTAAAGTTAAATGTGTTAAATGTGTTGTCGGCGAAGAGCTAAAATTAAATTTTTTAACAAAAATTATTTAAATTATTAAAAATATTTTAAAAAAAATATACTACGAATGAAAAAAAAAAAATCCAACAGAATTTTTCATTATTTCATTAGTTCATCTTACTTTAGAGAACTAAAAATTCCCGACAAAAGACTACCTTTAGAATTATTATTATTATTATAAGAAGGTGATGTATGATGGATTTTTTGAATAAATGGGCAAATTCTTCGAACAAAAGAAAACATTTCGCAAAGATTTTTCTTATAATTTATTTTATTATATTTATCAATCATTATTATAATAATATTCGATAATCAAAGATTTCACGTGAATAATTTAAAAAGATTTCACAACTACTCTACTACTGAAAGAATAATAATAATAAAAAAAAAACGCGATCTAATGTAAGATCAAATAAGGAATAATTAAGAAATTACTTATTGTAAATTTTAAAAATTCAATTACTTTGCATGGTAATATGTAAAAAAAGAGTGGACATAAATTTCTCACTTTAAAATATGAAATAAATAGATCATCTTCCGGAAGAGAAGTGAAAAAGATTTGAATCCAAGAGTTAAACTTTGTGATCGCCGAAGATTAAAGAATAGTATTATTATTACCATCATTAGTATAAAATAAAGTTAAACCAAATACGTGTCCTGTAACTATCAGCTATCTGAAGTTATTTTTTGTTAAAATAGTAAATTTTTTAAAAAATGATGTTTTTTACACGCGGGAAAAAAAAAAATAAATAAACTTCATTTTACGCGATCAAGCTGTTTTTAACACGTCACAATTCTTCAAGTTTCTTTAGTTTCTTTAATTTCTTTAAAATTTTTTTTGTTAATGTTATTTTCTTCAGACGTCAGAGAGTGAAACTTTTAAAATATAATGAATTCATTCATAATGAAAAAATTAACTTTGCGTTTGGTTTTTTTCAATCATATAAATTAGATGCCTTTACGACCTCGGTCACCAAAAAAATTTTTTTTTAAAAAAAAAATAATAATCTCTTTAAAAAAAATATTAAAAAAAAAAATTCTTAAAAAAAAAAATATTAAAAAATTCGAAAAAGATTTATTTTCTCTTGAATATGTCAAAAAGATTATCTGAAAACTCTAGTGAAACTTCGAAAAAGTCGCGAAATTCTGAAATTCGAAATGCTGTCGATTTGAAAGTAGCCGTTCGACCGGGATTTGGAACTGAGGGAAATCGTTTCAGAATTAAAACTAATAACTTGAGAATCTTAATGGTATCAAATTATTATTTATTGTTAAATTCTATTGATGGATAAAAATAATATAATAAATGCATAATAATATTTCTAATAAAAACTTCTCTGAAAAAAAAATAAATTAATAAATTAATTCAGCTTCCGAAAGAAAATTTCTATCATTACAAATTTGTCATTACCACACCCATCAAAGTCAGGACACATCTAGCTTTCAAGATTTTTTCATACATGGGTTTACAAAATTATTTTGGAGGTACACAAGTGGTATTCGACGGTAACTCAAGCATCTATACATCTCGACCTTTGCCGATTGGAAATGACGACGAAGCAAAAATTGACGTACGTTAAATAAATTTTTTAACCATTTCTTTAATGTTTTTTAATATATCTCTATATTCTAAATATATATTATTTTTATTAACATTATTCATTGAAATTTTTCTTTTTTCTTATATATAGGTCACACTTCCTGCCGAAGGAAGAATGCGTTCAAAGAATTTTATAATTATTATACAAAAGGTTACGCAAATCAATTTACAAAGTATTAAGGAATATGTGAACGGGACAAGTCCCTTTACCAGTGAAATACAAACCTGTTTATCGGTTTTAAATACGGTTTTAAATTATAAACCTCGAAATACCTATCTTGTTGTTAAAAATGGAATATTTCCTGAGAATTTCGATCGACCAAAATATTTGGGAAATGGTATTGAATTAAAACAAGGATATTGTCAATCAATTCGTCCAGGAACTGGTAATATATATTTTTATTCTTTTTTTTTTGAAGTTTCTAAATGTTGTTTTGCATTTATTATATATTTTATTTTAAAAATGAAAAAAAAATTTTTTTTTTTCAGAACAATTAATGGTCAATGTGGATGTGTGTGCTGCCTGCTTTTATCCAGCTTGTACTTTGTTGCAATTTGTGTCAATGATTTTGAAGAAAAATATCGACAGTTTAAGGAGGGGAATAACGGATAATGAGAAAAGGCAGTTGGAATACGTAAGCCAACCACATTGAATAACGTTGAATAAACATTGAAACCAAAAAGAATTATGATATTTAAAATCGTAAATAACTTTAAATAGATTTTGAAAGAAGTTAAGATACGTGTCAATCATCGTGGAGAACACCAGCCAAGATTCAAGATAGAACGACTATCATCGCAAGCAACTGATTATTTAATGTTTCGTAATGAAAAGGAAGGAAGAGATGTATCCGTTGTGCATTACTTTGCTCAACAATATAATCGTCAATTAGAATTTCGTTGCCTTCCTTGCGTAGTTGTAAAAAAATCCAATTTTATTCCAATCGAATTGTGCGAAGTATTGCCTGGTATGTTTTTTCAAAAAAAAAAAAAAATAACTAAAAACATATTATTATTATTTTTTTTTTACCGATACTCACTTTTCCCTCTCTTTCTCAAAGGGCAAAAATTTGAAAAACCCATTGATGATAAACTCAAGGCTGATATAATTAAATTCACGTGTATTAAACCGCGAGATAGATTCAAAGTTATCGAAAAAGGTATTGAAACATGCTTTAAATATAAAGAAGACGAAAATTTGAACGATTTTGGTATTCAAGTCGATTCTAAAATGATTGAAATTGAAGGTTTAATTAATATTATAATATCTTTGATGTTTGTTGTATTGTTGGCTTTTTTTTTTTTATTTATTTTACTATTTTTATTTTATTTTAGCACGACTTCTAAAACCTCCTATTGTCGCTTATGACAAAAAAAGTCAAGAGCCCGAGTTTCAACCTAGATTCGGAAGATGGAACTTGATGAATAAATCCTTCCCTAGTGTAAGTAAACTTTTACCAAATATTTATCATGTTATTTTTAATTCATTTTACTTTTTAATTCATCGTATTGTATTTAATATTATTATTGTTATTAGATTCGACCCCTTGAAAACTGGAGTATTCTTATGTTGACAAGGGATCCGGTACAAATGGTAGAAAATTTTGCGCGAGAATTATCGAAAACCTTAAATGAGCGAGGAATGGTAGAATTCTGTGTTATTTAAATGATAAAATATAACATCAAACGTACATGCATCAAATCTTTTTATTTTGTTTTATTCAAACAACAAAAAAAAAACAACATAGCCCGTAAATACTCTTCCAAAAATAATTCCTGAAAATTTACAAGGAGATATAGAAAAGGTATCAAAAATCGCTTGTTTCTATTTTGTTTTTTTTTATAATTTATGTTATTAAATTAATATTATCATAGGGTTTGGTTATTGCGATCGACAAGGCCAAAGTTAATAAGAACATTCCAGTTCAGATTATTCTCGTATTCATTCCGAGAAAGGCATCACAACCTTATGGCAGAATTAAGCAATTATCTGATACTGTCCTTGGAATTCCTACGCAGTGTATTGTATCAGATAAACTAAGAAGATCGGGAGACAAAGGTCTTCTATCAAACCTCGCCTTAAAAATCAATGCTAAATTGGGTGGTCGGAACTGTTCCCTCAGAGGCGATCAATTGGATTCAGTAACCAAAGTGCCGGTAAAGTAATGAATATTTTATATATATATACATACGTACACACGTATACAAGCTTTAAATTCTCTTTTGCTTATTAGACTATGATCATGGGAGCCGATATTTCACATCCTGCCGTTGGAGTTAATCAACCATCAATTGCGGCAGTATGCGGCTCTGTAGAAAAAACTGGAATGGTAATCTTTTAGTTCAAAAATTCTACAGAGAGTAAAAATATCCAACATAATTAAATCTATTATCTAATATGCCATTCTTAAAGGTTTATAACGGTCGTTATAGTATAAATAAAGAAATTCGAAATGAGACTATAGAAAATTTGGAAGAGGTTATTTTTTATTGTCCTCCTCCTTTTCATTATTTAATTGAGTATAATATATAATAATTAAAAAGTGCCTTAATAGATGACGACGGATTTGCTTAGACTTTTCCTCGAGAGAAATAAACGTAAAGATGGAAAAGGCGTGTTACCTCAAAGAATAATTTTTTATCGCGATGGTGTTAGTGAAGGACAATTTCGATCCGTTCTTAATCGAGAAGTAATAGCTCTAAAGAAAGCTTTTGAAAAAGTATATTCTGATAAGATGCCTACATTGACTTTTGTGATAGCCCAAAAAAGGCATCACACAAGGTAAAAAAAAAAAACAAAAAAACAAAAATAGAATGTCCTTTCTTTTTTGAAATTAACGTCTTACATTCTTTTCCATTCCTACAGATTCGTTCCTATTGATTCGAGGGCCAATGGTGATAGGAATGGAAATTGTCAACCCGGTACTTGCGTCGATACTGAAATTGTTCACAAAAAAGAATTCGACTTTTGTAAGCGTAGTTTCTCTTTTTTTCCTATTTAAAACAAACCTGATTTTTATTAATACGTAAATTAAATAGATTTACAAAGTCATGCCGGAATTCAAGGAACGGTTCGTTCGACTCATTATTATGTTCTTTACGATGAAAATAATTTCTCCGCAGACGAATTTCAGAATATGACCTATCGCCTTTGTTACCTTTATGCAAGGTAAAAAAAAAATTTTTTTTTATGAAAATTACCGTATCAGGAATTATCATTTAATTTTTATGATTTTTCATGTTTAGATGTACCATTGCAACTTCAATAGTCCCAGCAATTGCATATGCACATCTTCTTGCTTCCCGGGTTCGACTATATCCAATGAACCGTTCGGGTCGTGGGGAAAATAATTATGATGATGATAAAAATATGAGTGAAAATAGTATATATCCGGGTAGTAATAATAATTTCGATTACCCACAAATTTCACAAAAATTAGAAAAATTAATGTATTTTGTATAAAAATTGACTGCAAGAATTTTGTATATATATTATTATTAATATTTTTTTTTTAATTTTATTTTTTTTTTTGAGAAATTTGTGTAAAGATTTCATAAATAAATATATAATATATTTTTATTCTTTTCGCTTCGATTAATTTTCATTGTTAAAATTACAGTATGATTACAGAGATATGGATTTATTGCTTAATTAATAAAATAAAATAAAATTATAAAAAGCAAAATATTAAAAATAATTTAAATAATTTATGAATTATATTCAAAGTATAAAAAATAGGAACAAAGATATTTTAAGCAGATTCCGTTTCAAGATCTTGATGACGTTCGCCGGATTTTATGTACTCTTCTGATAAACTACGTTCTGACTTCTTTCCTTTTGGTTTGTCGGTTTTAACAAATTTAGTGATTTTGTCCTATAAATAAATAAATAAATAAATAAATAAACATAATGAAATTTCATGAAATTAAAATATAGATTAAATCGAAATTAGATTAGCTTACTTTTATCGTTCCAATGGTAGCATTAAGTTTATCTTTCGTTTTGGAAAGTATTTGCCCGCCCTGTTTTGCACCTTCAGTATTTTCTGTTGAACCATATAGTTTTGATAAATATAATATATTCAAATCATTATCATTATTCGGTGATAATTGCTGCTCACTTTGTTCAATTCCGCGGGGATGTGTCACATCAGGAGAAGTTGGTTCGTTTTCGTTTTTATTAATATTATTATCTTCATAACTGGTTATATTAGTAATTTGTTGTGGTGGCTGCTGTTGTGGTCGTTGCGGTGGTGTTGGTGGTGGTGGTTGTTCAAGTTTATCATCATCACTTGTTGAAAGTTGATGTTGTTGCTCAGCGGATCGTTCCTCCTCTCTATGACTGGTGTCAGATACCTGTTGAATTTCCGTATGTGGGTCTTGAGGTATTAAAGATTTCTTTTCAACTTCTTCATCTGCAGTTTCATTAAGATTATGTGGTTTGATAGTATGAGATTTATCAATTTCACCCTGGGCAGCTTCATCAAATGTATTCTCTTTTTTTTCCTCGGGAGATTGTGTAAATTGATCTAGAATATGTGGTTTGATTTTACGAATTTTAGTAGCCTCAAGATTATGATCTGGTAATTCTTGATTTGCTATATTAATAAAAAGGTTAGTAGAGATTTGAACAATGAACATCATTAATGACATACAACTTACCACTAGTCATTGTTTTCTTGATTGTTTGATCAGTTGGTAGACAAATATCTTGCGTAGAATAATATTCTGGGTTTTCTAATTGAGGAGTTATTGGATATCCTTTATTTAAAATATGAAAAACATAAGGATTAAAAAGAAAAACGACGTCAAAAAATGTAATTAAATTATGCTCACCACCTGGAATATCTACTTTGGTGTCTGCCATTTTTTTTTTTTTTAAACACGAATATTTATTTGGGAAAAAAATAAATCACCTTTCCCTTTATACTTGTTTTATTTTTTATTTTTTTATTATTTTTTATTATTTTTTTTTTTTAAAAAAAAAATATCATTAAAAAATTATCGTGTGATGCATGGTTTATATCATTATGAACGTTGTTTTATAATTACATCATTATTATGTTCTTCCCACTAACTGATAATGGTCATGGACAATTTGCCAAGGATCATGATTCTCTTTATAAAATATTTACAAAAGCAACTTTATTAATTTAATAAATAATAATGAGTAAATACAAAGTACTACACGTGAAGAGCAGTTAATTCAATATTGTTGTTTGAATTTATTTTAGGTTTTTATACTGTAGATTGCATAACTGTTAAAACAAAAAACGGATCGATTTTTGGGATGTACGTTTTCCCACAAAAATGTATAAATGCCTTATCGATATGATAGGAGCTACGCTTGCTAGCTTCTATAGACATCAAAGAAAACCGAAGCTAGATAAAATAGAAACTTGGATCGAAAAGAAAGGAAAAATGAAAGATAATTATAGTGTCGATGATAGTAGCAATAGAAATATCGTATTCAGTAACAATGATAACGATAGCTAGTGTCATCTTTTACTATGTCAAAAGGCGGCAGGTGCTTTGTTCCTCACTTCTATTTATAGCATAGTGAATCGTAAAAATAGATTTCTAGGGGTAAAGGGGTCCAACTGAAGGGTTACACGACAAGATTTTGGATTGACAAAACCGTAACTTCTGATTTATGCCGATCTTTCATCTTTCATTATGTCCGAAGTGCATCGAAATATAAAAACTTTTGACGTTTTTTATTTTCAAAAGCCAATGCTCGACAGTCAATTGCTGTAGTTGAAAACCACACACTACCAAGGTTTCATGGCTGTCAACGCATTATTGGCTTTCTGGCATCGAAATTTTTCATATAAACTATATATTTTATAGAGAATATTATTTTTAAAAAACGAGTTATTTAAAAAATATTATTGTAAATTGTAAAGTAAGTATCTCTTCGTACATGTTTTTGATAATAACAATTATTTTATTAAATTTTATTAAATTTATTCAATTTCAGGCTTAGCTATTAATAACGGATACATTTTTTACTCCCTAAAAATAGTATTTTTTCTGAGCGCTTCCTCAATAAAAGGCGTTCTATCTTTTAAATTGGAGATAATTATAGGTATTAATTTTATATTGTGTTGATATCCCAAATGCCCAAATTAACCGTGATAATTCTGGTACCAAAAACATTTTGTAAATGACTCTTCTGCTTCTTCAAGCTGCGCCCATACACGAAGCTAACACATACTCAACTTTTTCAGTACAAAGAGCTTTAAGTAAGAATTCGCATATTTGAAAATTTTGGATGAGAATTCATTAAATGATCTCTTTTAAGCAATTCGAAGAGTACCCAACCAATAATGTAAGAAAATGCAGAGATCATCAATTATCCAATTCTGTTTTATAGGCATTGGTGGTCTTAATAAATTACGATCAACTTGCATTTCGTTAGAAAAAGATGGGTCCAGTAAATGTACTGTAAATTTACTACGATCAAGGTTTGTTGCTATAATTTTGCTTGTTCATAATTATTATTACCTATATTAACTTCAACAATATCTCATAAGGACCAAGAAGAAGCCCATCAGTCAAAGCTTTTAATATAATTTCTGTTTTCGCCAGCACCATCACAAATAGATCCAAAAGTATGAATATTGATGCATTCAAGATTAGCTGCAAGTTGAAAGAGTATTTTATTAATTTCATGTGCAGTAAGAGTATTGATACTATAATATGCTATAGGGTATGCAAATTTAACAGTTGCTGAGTGTCAAACGATTTGGTGTACTTGTGTTGCTATTCCTCGATCATGATCTAAAGGTATTGGATTAGGTAAATTACTTTCTGTTTGTAATTCTTTTTCACATTACATAATAAATGATTACAATTCTTTTTTTTCATCTTCAAAATCCAGATAGCCAACATAAAGATTGTCTCGCTGACTCCAAAGTAAACCTATTAAATAGTAATCATAATTAATATATTATTTATTTATTTATTTTTTTTTTTTGTTAAATATTTTATTAATAAAACATACCTTTTTGTATTTTAAAAGAATCATGAGAGAAAAAAACCAATTCGACCATGATCACTAATATTTTCTATTACCATTTTTTGTAAAATATAATAAGCAGTTTTATTCTGCTATCCTGAATGTTGTTGCCTTTCATTTATATAGCTTTTTAAAGTAGATACTGAAGGTAATCGCATAATATTTTTCATTGCTTCATAGGCAGTACAACCTCCCCGACTGTAAACTGAAATAGCCCATCGCAAAAACCTAATAAAATAATAATATGCACTTACATAGGATGATATTTTACTCCTTTTGCTTTACCACTTTGAATTCTAATCAATTCTTGAAAAATTAAACTAAAAGTAGAAATGTCAACTTAATTTTAGCAACTCTACTAGATATCTCTTTTGCAATTAGACCCAAGTCTTCTGATACTACTTCTTCTTCACATTCTATCTTTTGTTGAAGTTGATTTTGCAAGGTACACACAAGTCGATTCTTTCCTTTATTTTCTTTAAAATAATTTTAATAAAATTAATTTGTTTTTGCATCTCAGTTGCTAATACATTTTAGAAAAAAAAATTAACTTACTTTTCTTTGCAGTTGAACTTTTTCTACTAAAATCTCTTGAGATACATGACTGATTTTAATAGACGAAACATCAATAAGATTTTGATTTCTGGTTCATATTTTGATTAATATATTCTTTAATTTCTGACAATTCTGACATATATTCATTTCCATTATTAATAAATCACAATCCATCCTTCTATAAGCTTCATTAGATTGACCTTGATTTTCCAGTGTTGCAAATGTTTCATGAATAGTAGTGTTTGGATTTTTTTTGATTTTTTGCAAGATAAGTACCTCGAAGCTTAACCACTTGTTCAAAACCTAAAATAAAATCAGTATTTAGAAAATAAATTAAAAATATATACAATAGTTAAAGTACCTTTTGTTGTTTGTCCAGGATATATATTTGATTTGGATACAAATTGAATTGTTTCGTCCATTTCCAAAAGTCTTCTTTCAGTTGCAACTCCTGTTTCGATTCCATTTATTTTTTTAACTTTTTTTTCGAGAACATCCGAAATTAAATTTTCTTCCCATTTGATAGTTAACTCCTTTTCTACTTTATTCTCTTTTCCAAAAAATATTACATCTATTCCATTAATAATTTCTCTCATTCCCACACCAAAAAATTCTTGTTTATATTTAATATTTGTTCTAATTAATGATATAGTCTCCTCAATACTTGCTGAATTGTGAGTTTTTCAATATGGAATTTGTTCCGTTGTTCTTAACATTGAAGCTAGATTAGAACTGGAGGAATTTGGTTCAAAAAAAAATTGTGACAAGTACTGATCGTGCGCCTTTAAATATTTTCTTAACTTTGAGAAAAGTAATCCAAGAGGAAAAAGTATTGAAGTTTTCACCAGTTTTTTTTTATCAGATACATAAAAGGTTTTGTCTTTTTTATTATAGATTAGATTAATGTTCCTTCTCTATATTTCATTTTTTTTATAAAAGAAGTAAACTTTCTTTCCATTGAATTCAGGTCGAAGGCGATATAATTCCTGGAGGGCTTCGGGATACTTGATTTTTTTTAATCCTTGTTCTTGTAAGCTAGTTTGTTCGCTTAAAGTGTGTTTCTAAAGTATAAAAACTTTAAATTAATAAAAATATTTATTAAATAAAGCATTTAAACCCAAATTTTTTCACCTTTTTATCCATAATTTCTAAAACTAAACTGTCGATTAAAAATTTCTCTTCTGATTTTCGACATTTTATTAGTAACACATAAATTTAATATAGATGACAGTTTTGTCAATCCAAAATCTTATCGTGTAACCTTCCAGTCGGACCCCCTTATTATTAACATTAATAAAGTTCTCCCTGATGATTTAATATCACGTGTTATATGCAATAGAATGTCATGGGACATATTGCAATCATGACTAATCAATAAAATACTAGAAAGAAAGTACTAGAGAACGACATCTATAATTGTTAGTGCTTAGTCCAACTTCACTGGGACTCTTCATATAAAGGGCTCTTAACTTGTTGCTTCTTTTGCAAGTATTTCTTTCGTGCTATCAATTTCTAACAAATGCAGAATCACCAAACTTGAAGTGTTCCGCACAAATAATTGATATTATTTTGAAAATCTTCACCAATTAGGTAAAGAAAGTAAAACATCTTACAACCAGAGCTCAAAATATAACATGGAAGGCAACACTCAGTTAAGAAAGGAGAACTAAGAAATTTTCAATTTTTGAAATTTTTGATTAATGTTAAAAAAAAATTGATTTTTTTGCAATTTGAAAAAGGATTATGAAAAAGTATTTAATAACTGACTTACTCCCTTCCAAAGAATATTCAAAATCAACAACTATTTGTTGGTATTTAGAGTAGATTAGAATTTGATGTCATTGAGGCAGTGTTTGAAATTAAGATTTTAAATCCTGTACGGAATATATACAATTTAGAAATTCTATATGCAAAAATTTGTGCGGAGTTTCAAATTTTGTGCTAACGCACATTCCGCACATGGAATTTCAAACACTGCATTGAGGTCAAAAGGAAGTGGTGGGGGATAAAATGTAAAAAAAATCATACAAACCATTGGAATATTAACATTAAACTCTTTGATCATAGGAATTTGCTTGTCAAATTAAATATTTTAAGTTTTGAGAAATTTCTGGTTATGTGAATGATCCACTATTAGAGTTTGCTTTAAAAAACATATTAAAAGTGAAATTAATTATTATGGAATTAATTTAGAAAGAGAAAAATCTAATCCATGATGATCTTGATGAACAAACGAATACATGTATACATTCAATATGTACATTTAATAAAAGCGAAATTATTAATCTTATATATTTTGTTTAAACGAATGATGACACTAAGATCCAAATATATCTTTATTGTCTTTACGCATAATGTTACTTATAATTTACAAAATATTGGAACCATTGTTCAAACAAAAAATATGATTCTATATAATTTTGCTTCCTTTATTTGTTTTTTTTTTATTATTATTATCATTTCATTAATAATTCTCTTTTTCTCATCAACTTTGTTATATTATTATATTGTTACATTAAAAAAAATCCTATCCCGGATATACAAATTGTATCCTTTAACGCCCACGCCCCCCCCCCCCCCCCTGAAAATAAAAACCAAAGCGAGAAATATAGAGAAATATTGTACATAATTGAATATATTGTTATTGTTATTAATGCAAATAAATGCAAACAAGCAATCCACGCAAATAAAGTAAATAAATGTAAATCCAATGCAAATGAATGCAATTAAAATGCAAATAGATGCAAATTGAGACGTGAAATGGAATTGCCAATAAATGCAATTAAAAGCTATGTTTTATTAAAGATTGAACAAATTCAGAAATGATAATATGAAAAAAAAAAAAACATTTCAAGAATCATTCTGCTCTCTGGAATTTCAAAAAAAAATAAAACAAAATAAAATCCTCCGAACCCCACCCCCCATAAAATCATGTAAAAAAGAATCCATTTCCTTAAACCAATTAATTCAATTAATTTCTCTCATCAAAAAATCAATCTCAAAAGATATTAATAATTATTGTTGCTGTTATTACTAAAGAGTGATTAAAAAACGTGAAAAAAATGAATATAAATTTCTAAAAAAAAATGAATAAATGAATGAATGAATAAAAATTCTAAAACAAACAAACAGACAAAAAAAAAAGAAAACAGATATCTATAATAGATTGATATAATATGTAAAATGAATGTTTATATAATGAGAAAAAAAAATAAGCAGTAATATATCTAAATTATATGATTATGAATGAAAGAATGTAAAATTATCAAAAAAAAAAGTGCTTCATTAAAAAAATGATATCACAGATATCTCACTTTATAATGAAGAACTTAAACCTAATGGGGGGAAACTTTAATAAGGCATCATTAAAATGAAGGTAACCAATTTATCCGTCCAATACTTTCTATCATATGAAGTAGAACGTGCTGATGATAATAATGAAGATGATACGAATGAAGATGATACTAATGATGATGATGAACCATTAAAAATATTTCGTTTCCATTGTTCTTCTATATTCTTATTACTTTGTGAAGTAATAGGAGATTTGGTTTTCAGAGATTTAAAAGGTGATGATGATGAAGGTGAAGAAGAAGAAGGTGGTGATGGAGGTGGTGATGATGAAGATAAACCTTTAGAAGATGATGTCGTTTTTTTTGTTGTTCGTTTTTGGGAACGATCATAAGGAGAGTTAATAAGAGCCGGTTCAAAATCAGCGAGAAAAGACATGATGATTAGTTGATTGGTTATAATTGTAAAGATGTTAAACTTAATAAGAAAGCTTTTTGATTAGATTTAATCAAAAGATTTTATTCGATTATTATTTATTTTTTTTTTAGATTTCGGAAGTTGCCAGGAAAGAGCAAAAATGTTTTAAATTTAAAGAAAACAGTGTCGGATAATTGATCCCTATTTATATGACCATAAAAAATGTAAATTATATAAATTGTATAAAAAAAAAATTATTATAAATAAATAAATTTAAAATTGACAATCCAGAACACAAAACAGCTCAAACACAACAAGATGTGCACAGAAAGATTTTTATTTAAAGTATTATATTAAATATTAAATATATAATTATGTAATAATATATTTAATAAAAATAAAAATAAATAATCTATACTATATTTATTATATTTATTATATAAATAATTATAATATAAACATCATATAAATTATATAATATTAATTGATATGAAAATATTATTATTTATTATTATTATTTGCTCAATACAATACAAAAATCAATATACTTTAATTAAAATTTAATTGTGTCACAATGCGTTGCTTGAATCTGCGCATAATCATATAATCCAAGAAAAACGACACATTGATTGTTTTGATATTAACCAGTTTCGTTGAAACTTAATTAGTGTTTAAGATTATTATTCAATTTTACAAAAAAAGTGATTTCTTTGATTTCTTTGAATTATATTCGTTGTTTCAAAAAAATTTAATATCTGCAAGGGGCATCTTTTCTTGGAATTTCATTATGGGTCAATAATAATAGTAATTATAACAATAATAGCTGATAATATAATAATAAATAATAATAATAACAATAATAAGTCGCAGTAATAAATAACAATAGCAGTATCTATTAAAATAGATATGTCTACGATTTAAAATTGTCACCAAACCTTATTAGTTATTATATTTTTTTTCTTTTTGTAAAAGGACGTTTTAATTCGATCAAAAAAAAAAAAATTATGTTAGACCAAAGAAGAATTAATTATACAACTGCAGTAATAATCAAATACTATAAAAAATTCATTTAACCAATAAAAAAAGGAATGTCTTTATTTAGTTTTCCGTAATAAGAAAGATAAATTTGTAAGACGAATGACTCATAACTTTGTACCAAAAAAAAAAAAAGGTGCAAAAATGAATAATGTGAAAGGAGAACTGTGATAATATACCCTAAATGTATAAATGCCACAGCCATCAATAATATGCTTTACACATGTTTCATTAAATGGGGTCATCCAAAGGGGGCCCAAAGTTGTACAAGCTTAGCTTTTTTACCAAAGAAATAAGCATTTTTTTTTTTTTTTCATCTATTTTTTCGCGATCAAGTATTTTTAATTTTTTTTTTTTTTTTGATATAATTGTAATTTGAAATTATCCTTAATTACTTTCCGGATCTATTCTTCAACCTGTTGTGCCTGGAAATCCTTCATACAGAAAAATACAATAAAAGCATCAGAATTATAAGGGTAACGAAATGAAAGAAATAGAGGAAAACGAAAGAAATGCAGACAAAAATAAAACGATATGCGGAAATCATATGCTGTATGTCACTTAATTTCTTATTATTATTAAGATGACATAACCAAAGAAAAAAAAAAAAAAAGAGAAAAAAAGGGGTGATAAACAGACTCACAATAACACCAGACAAGCCAAAATACAATATAAATTCTATATTTATGTTTTAATTATAAATATAATTTACGTGTGGCATATGTTTTAACTTTTTTTTCATTGATGCGATGCTAATATTGACATAAGCAAATTACTATTTAAAGTTAAACTTAAAATTTTTTTCACCTAAAAAAGAAAATACGCCTTTATCGTTACCTGTTATATTCATATGTAAATATGACTTATTAATACTTAATTATTATTATCATTATTAATGATTACAAACAAGAATTCATTGAAATACTAGATTTAGAATCAAATGAGTGAATAGAAAAAAAAAAAAGTTTTAAAGAGCGCGTGAAAAAAAATTGGGTGAGTAACTAAATAATCATAAAGAATAAAAACTAAAAAATAAAATAACGAATTATTCCGACGTGGCGGCGGACCAAAAGTAATATAGTAAACGATCAAAGACTTGGCTGAATAATTATTAAAATCCAATTGGTTAATTATTATTTCCAAGAATGGTTCGAATGACAAAACAAACAATTGTTACAATTATTACAATTGATTAAAAAATTACAAAATAAGGAACCGTGGAAAAATTATTATTTATTACAAAATTTTATGAGTTTTTATTTAAAAATTCCATTTTAGTGTTGGGAAAAAAAAAAAAAGAAAAAATAGAAAAATGAGTTCCCAAAACTCAAATATTCATAATAATAATAATAATAATAATAATAATAATAATAATAATAATAATAATAATAATAATAATAATAATAATAATAATGATGATGATGCTTTAGATTCTGACTCAGAATTATCTTCATTAAAATCCATTTTCCAAAAACTTATTAACAATAATAATGAATATCCAGATTATCCCAAAACTCTCTTAAAATCTTTGGAATTTTCTTCAGTCTTACGTGGTACTTCTTCAAAATCTCAAAAAATAAAACCATTGTCATTATTAATCTTAACAAAATTACATGAACATTCTTGTAAAAATAATTTATTGGATTTATTTAAAAAATCTTCTAGTAATATCATTTTGGATTGGTTAAATTCAACTGAAAAAAATGTCAAATTAGATGGCTATCATTCACTTGAAGCATTATTTCAAATTTCTCATGAATTGGGTTCTAACATTTTATTAAAAGATGGGGTCATGGAAGATATTATGGATTGTATAGAATTTGAACCTGATGAAGTTCAAATTTCCATCACTGAATTATTATCAGTGGCTTGTGCACAAAAAAATTCCAGAGCTTTGGTAATAACTCATTGTCAAAAATATTTAACAACTTTGATGACAAATAAAAATCAAAAACTTAAAACTTTGGCAGCAGTTATTTTAACAAAAATTATGTTAAATGAAAAATCCAGTGACGATATCAACAACAACAAAAATAATGATGATGATAATAAGATTAAAGTTATTGATGAAAATGAAGAATTTCTCATAGATTTATTTGAAAATATGGTATTGAACAATCAAAATGATGTTGGAATAAGAATTAATGCTATTGAAGGTTTGGCTTATTCTAGTTTGAAATCTACAATGAAAGAAATGATTTCGTATCATCCAACTTTACTTTTAGAAATTTATAAATTAATTCAAGATTCTGAAAAAACAAATAATACTTTATTTTATGGTGTGGCGATAATATTATCTAATATTACTTCTTATAAGAAGAAATTAAGTGAAACTGAAGAAAAATATTTACGATTAAAAAAAATGGCAGGAGAATCATCTTCAAATTTAGAACCTGATCCTTTAGATAATGATGAATATGTAATTAATCGTTGTAAACAAGTTATGAATTCAGGAGTGATTAAACCTTTAATTATAATGTTAAAAAGTAATAGTCAAGTAATTCGACAACTTATAACAAAAATATTTTTAAATCTTGCCACGGATCAAAATAATCGAGGAAAAATAGTTCAACAAGGTGGTGTAAAGGCATTAATTCCATTAACTACCACCACCACCACCGACACCACTCAAGAATCAAAAGAATCAATGTTAAATGTGATTCACACTTTGGCAAAAATTGCTATTACCATGGATCCAAATTTAGCATTTAGAGGAGAAAGATCATCAGATTTAGTAAGACCATTTTTAATATTATGTCAAAGTGAAAGTGAACTTTGTCAATTTGAAGCATTAATGGCATTAACCAATTTAAGTGGTGTAGATGATGAGATTCGAAAGAAAATTTTTGAAAGTAAAGGAATTCCAATTATTGAAAATTTACAACTTTCTGATAATTTCATGATTCGAAGAGCTGCCACCGAATTTTTATGTAACATGATGTTTTTTGAACCGGTTTTTAATTTGTATAGTGAATCCGAAGAAAAGATTAAAATATTGGTGGCACTTTCTGAATCAGAAGATTTTGCAACTAAAAGAGCAGCCAGTGGAGCATTAGCAATCCTTTCGATTGATCCTGAATCATGTCAATCAATAATGAAACGATCATATGGAATTGATGTATTAAAAGCTTTATTAATTGATCAATCCGAAGAACTTCAACATCGAAGTTTAGAAATTATTAAAAACATGACAAAAGTTGATAATAATAAAGAAATTGTGGAGGCATTAATTAAAAATAAGATTCATGAAGAGTTGGCAAAATTTATTAAAAAGTGTAAAATTCAATCTTTAGTAAGTCTTGCGGTTGAAGCATTAAAAGAAATTTCTAAAAAACAATAATAAATATTTCTGGTTTAAATAATTTTATTTAATTTAATTTTAATTTTATTTTAACTTAATTTATTTTCTTTTATTTTTCATATTATTTATATATTATGTTATATATTTATTATACTGTATATTTATTTAACTAATTCACATACCTGATATTATTAATATATTTTTATAAAATTATGTTATTTTAAATATTGTTTTTTAATGAAATATTAAAGATCTCGACGAAATGCATTAGAAAATGTCGAGAATGTTGAAAAATTTATTGGTGATTACAATTAAATATATTAAATATATTAAATATATTAAATATGGTAATTCATTAATTCAACTTCTTATTAATGTTAACATAATAAAGTAAATTTTCTCGTAGAATGAGTGGCGCACCAATATATGTGTAGTGTATATAATTTTTATAATACACATTTTTATTTTAATTAATAATAAAGATCATCGCGAGAAATTATGTACCTTGCTTACATAACAGCAGATAAGTTACATAATAGTAATTATAATAAGGATAATAAGGATCACTAAAAACAAATAAATAAATATTTATCTAATCACAAGGTGGAATACATCATATACATCGGAGAAATTGGCCGATCTTGAAAATTCAACAAAAAAAAAAAAAAAGAAATTAAGTTTATATGGCTTATAAGTATGACGAAATATGACTCTTTAATGATGTTTTTTTTTTAAATGGAAGTTTTAATAAGTTATATTTGTTTTTTATTTTTATTTTTTTTTCTGATAATCTGCAATAACAAGGATAACAAGAAGCTTGGCAAAGAAGTGATTATCCTTACGTGTCTTCCCATGATTTACATGATTTACCCCTTTTAACCCCTTTCCACTTTTATCTTCCTTTTTATTTATTTATTAAGAAAAGGGAAGAAAAAAAAGAATCTAAAAAAAAAAAAAAATGTACAAAGTAGTATGTGATGTTATACGAATGATGACATTAATCACATTGATGATAATGCATAAAAGATAACAGATAATGCATAAAGATAAACGATAAATTGATATAAACGATAAATTGATATAATAGATATAGATAATATAGATATTATTGGGGTAGATAAGATAATCATCAACGATAAAAAAAAGGAATAAAAAATAAATTAATTAATTAATATTATCCATTTATAATCATAATTCGAAAACTGATAAGATTTAAAAAAAAAAAGATTAGAACATTTTGAAAATGATTCAACGTTTGATGCGATAAGAATAAAAAATAAAAGTGTATAACGTAAATGGAATATAACAATTTGTAATTACAGGGACAACAATAATAATAATAATAATAACAATTACTACTACTTCAATAACAAATAACAAAAAACAACAAGCAAGCAATTAACAAGTAAATACAGGCAAGAAATATTATACAATGCAAAGAGATTATAATAAATATTATTTTTAATAATAATATATGTTACCTTCATAAAGAACAAAACTGCATTAATAACTTTGTAATATTTTGGGTTGACAAATTGTGATACACTTGATAGATACACTTGATACTTATTATTTTTGTGTTCAACGCCTTTTTATTCTTTCGTTTCACGTTAATGAAGTGTGTAATAGTCAGAATTATTATGTATTTATTATTTTTTGTTTTAATTTAAAGATACGAAATACGTAACGCGCGTAAATAGTTATAACCGACAATATTTGATATTATTGGTCAGCTCAGTTGTCATACGAATTTGAAAATCAACTAACCGTTTTAATAAATGATGCGATGAGATAATAGTTATTAATTGGAAGGAATTAAGTTCAAATTGAGTTAATTTCGATATACACTGCCTACTCAAAAGTTAGGACCACCTTAACGATTTTCATAAAAGTGTAACAATAATAAAATCTTGTGTAATAAAATAATAACTGTGTATCATAATAACAATAAATAAACACAGATTATAGGTGCTGCCCAAATTCAAAATGCTAAATCCCAAATCCCAAATTGCTGATTGCCAAAATTCCAAATCCCAAATTATGCCAAATCCCAAATCCCAAATGCTATGAAACTGAATTTTGGCAGCTGAAATTCCAAAATAATTTGGAATTTGGATGGAATGTATAACACAAATCATCATGCGTACAATTTGTTTTCCATGGTTTTCTCTTTTTGTTTTTGTCAAATGGTCAAAAAAAAGGAACTATCAACTTTCAAGTGTGGTAAAATTATCAAACTTCATGAAGCTTGGAGCTCAGAAAGAACCATTTCATAGAAAACTGGCTACAGAAAGACTACTATTTATAATATTATAACTAAATATCACAATACAGGTACTGTTACCTTTACTTTTATTAATTATTTTTATATTTAATTATTATATATTTTATATCATATATTTATTATTTTATTACTATTTATTATTTATTTCTTATTATTATATATATAATATTACAGTAGATCAATTTATTAGTCTGTAGTACAAATTAATTGTTATTACTTAAATTAGTAGATTTCTAAATTCTTGTAAGTCTGTAATACTAAAATACAAATTAGAGTACAAGCCATAGTACAAGTTAATATTTTAGATAAAGTACAAGTTAAATTAATAGTTAAGATACTAGTTAGGATATTAACATAGATATTAGTGAAGTTTCCAGTCAGATTATAAGTTAGCTTAGTAGTCAAATCTATAATGTATATAAAGATTAAGAATTTCTTCAACTCAGTCTTCAGTTTTCTAATTCAGTTTATTTAATTCAAATAGTTCGATTGAGTTAATTAGTTAGAATTTATTAAATAATAGAGTTAATATTACAAAATCCTTTGAGTTTCTTGTTTATTGTATTCTTTTGATAATTAATAAACTATACTTGCACACAAAATTATTTTGGAATTCCGAAATTGTAATTTCGAAAAAAAAGTCAAAATTATTTTATATAAAACTTGAAATTTTTTGATCACCCAGATTTATTTTTTAATTTAATATATTGTTAAGCGCAATCTGTCAATATAATTAGAAAGTATTGTTTATTTACTAAGTCTTTAAGAAGTTCTGCTTAAGTTTACAAGTTTATAATTTCAAGAACTTCACAGTTTATATAATAATTTTGATACGTGAGTTCTTTATTAGCAAGTATGGGGTGTATCGCACCAAGTTAGTTTGTGACTTTGCTCAGTGCAGGGAATAGTATAGCATCAAATAATAACAAAAGGAT